TTGTCAGCCATGAATACGCCAAAGAAGAGGGGTGTGTAGTTATCCTCATAGCTGTCGTCGAAGTTGTCGAGGTCGCCGTGGTTGTAGTGGTAGCCTAAATCGTCGTAGTCGAGGATCTCGGTTGGTCGAGAACTGACGCCGGGGGAGCTGAGGTAGCCATCCAAATCTTCCGTCGAGACTGTCCCAAGAGGTTGGAGTATAACGCCAACCTCTCTGGATCTAGATTGGATTGGGGCCGAAGCCGGAGCTCGCCTAGATCTTCAAGTGGGAGATGTCTTGGCGATGAAGACAGCGGCCAAATCATCAGGAAGTTTCATCAGGATTGAGGGATAGGACCCGTCGTCTTGATCCGGCCGCGGAAGAGTAGATTGGATCTCGTCCGAGTGGTTTGGAGCCGACTCGGGAGAGATGATCTTAGAGTAGGCCTCGGCCGAGTTCAGAATACCGAATGGCACGGGGACCTGGTTTCTCCCCGACTGGTTTGAGTCCGAGTCATGGAGAGAGATCTTGCCGAAGTCGTTGGTGATGAAGTTGAGGCTGCCGAACCGGAACGCCTGCCCGGGAGGGAAGGCGAAGTCGTCGATGCCAGAAACAGAACCCATCGCACTTAGTCGGCAAAAACTTGACGCTACCCCTACCTGGCGCGCCAACTGTCGAAACAAGATTTCGGCAATAATAAAAGGGGGTGGCTATCAAGCTAGGAAAGTGGATGGGTTTGGAGACAAGGAATTTTATACAGGTTCAGGCCTTCTCGTTCAAGAAGTAATACACTACTCCTGTCCGGGGATGATTCCGCCGAGTATGTTATTGATTGTATAAACTGGAAAAAAGAATCGCCCCCCAAGAGGCACACGGACCCTCCTTATATAGGGGAAGGAGTCCGCTTTACAAAATACAGTCCATATCCTAACGGAATATGGAATTATAGATAAAATACAATCGTAACCGACTAAGATCCCGGGTATTTCCTTGACATACAAGTTTAGAACCTAACCCGAGTCTTCATAGAGATATTCCATCTATATTTGGTACTGTATATCCGACTAAATTACAACCGTCATGTAGATATGGGGTATCCATAATCTCCACACTTATCAAGAAGATAATAATAATAATAATAATAATAATAATAATAATAATAATAATAATAATAATAATAATAATAATAATAATAATAATAATAATAATAATAATAATAATAATAATAATAATAATAATAATAATAATAATAATAATAATAATAATAATAATAATAATAATAATAATAATAATAATAATAATAATAATAATAATAATAATAATAATAATAATAATAATAATAATAATAATAATAATAATAATAATAGAAGTACTATTGATATCACCTCGGCTAGTTATGTCATCAAATTTTCCAACAATAAAGTCACTTTGAACTTGTTAAAAAAAAACTTGAAATAACTATGAGCCCAACACTAGCTTCCAGGAAGGAAGGCTAGCTAGGGATTTGCAAGGATGTGATTCAGTGGCTACAACACCCAGAGTCTTCCGCACGTGCATTGAAGGTTGAAACTAGGAAGAACTGTGCATACGTGGCAGTGGGGCCCACCACAATGAGGAGGCGGACAGTGCGGCGGTTGACCTGGCCCGATGGGCCATAGAAAAATATGAGGTTCATACTTTTTTTTTTTTGAAATTCATAATGGTAGTCCCTTTCAAAGGCTTGAAAAGGAGTCCCTTTCAAAAACACTGAACATTCTTCAACACAGCCTACAGCCTATGGTTGGTGTTTTGGTCCCTTCTTGTCTGTTTTCTCTCCTGTAGACAAAGCCAGATTTTGCTAGCTACTGGTTATACTTATAGGTGATTTTAAACTGATTTAGAAATTAAAGAAGGTGAATTCATGTTATTAATTGTTATTATTTGAATGACTCTATGCAATGCAACCAGAAAAAAAAAATTACATGAGTTATGTCTCTGATTGTCTAAGTAGTGACCAATTTTCTATTTAAAATAGGGGAAGACTACATAAGAGTGGTGTAGAGGCCATTTCTTTTTTAGTTTTGTCTCTCCTAAAAACCAAATATATTACTTTAATAGAAACCAATATAATATATAGTAGAGTAAAAACAAATTTAAAGAGTTGTGTAACAGTACCACGGTTTTTTACTGTGTCTTCAACAAATGCCACATTCTTTAATACTCTCTCCGTTTCAGGTTATAAGACGCTTTGAGTTTGGCCAAAGTCAAATTACTTTAAGATTGACTAATTTTGTAGAAAAAAGTAGTAATATTTTTAACCCAAGACTAGTATATTATGAAAATTTACTCAATTATAGATTTAATGAAACTATGCTGGGGTTGTGTACTATTTTTTCTATAGAGTTAGTCAAACTTAGAGTAGTTTGATTTTGACCAAAGTCAAAACGTCTTATAACCTGAAACGGAGGGAGTGCCTTTTAGTAAATTGTGTCTCCACTTGTCAACATAAGATTATCAAAGTTCTGATCGTAGGATTGAGATCCTTTGGCGTGAAGTTAAAGGAATGTGATCACTGATATGTGAGTATCACCACCCATAAGCCTAGTGCTATATTTTTTTTTAGATAATGGAATATAATATTCCGGCCTTTGCTTAAAAAGAACTACAGCCTATTATTACAAAGATCCACTCCAGAAGAGAGTGTAGTTCAAGACAAGTTGAACACACCAAACAAGAGAAGAGAGGACCCAAATTGAAAAATGCAAAACAAAATGTGGAGCTAGAAGGCCTCGTCCAGGCCTATGACTAAAGTTCGAAGCCAATGCATAAACCAATGACAATATCCTTGCACGAAGAGGTTTCTCCAAAGCGGTGCCCCCAAGGAGGATGCGACGTGGATCGCCGCCACCGCTCGTTCGGAACCGAAGCAAGGTTTTCACCCGGAGAATATGGTAGGGAAAGGAAAGGGGTATGCTAAAACAACGCCTCCAAGGAGGGGAACGACGCCAAACGGCGTCGCCGTTGTCAGCCGGCCAAATGGCTCGGCAAGGCTTTCGCCCGCGATTCCCTGTCCAAACCCACACCACCAATCCGCACAAGAAGGATCGTCGTCGGTCAACAACATTGTCCCTTCAGCGATTCGGCCAAGGCCACCGCCCATAATTGTTCCCACCGTCGACGGCGCGTCCGCACCTGGACTCCTCCTTCCCCGCCGCCATAGAGAGTGTCAAAATAGTTGCTATATGGAAGATCAAATGCCATAGAGAGTGTCAAAATAGTTGCTGCTGAAGAAAATGCTATAAAACATTGAACTTATTTTTACTCATTATTGCAATTGAATTTTTTATACTAGCGGTATTAACTAAAATTTGTGCTCTAGCTGCGGCTATGGTGCTGATCATTTTCAAGCTGACGCCAAACCTTTAGATATACAAGAGTTGAATCTTTTATTGGCACATTTATATCTGATCAAAACCTAAATTCAACTAAAATACCTTTAAAAATATTTTAGTTTTGAATGGCCAAATTATTTAGTGAGCCGATTGCTCCCTTGAAAACGATATAACATAACCACATTCAGGAAAGTACCATTCGTGTGATGGTAGAGTCTTTGATTGGCACATGACTTAACTCACCAAGTATAAATTCTGATGCTCATAAATAGAGCTATATATATGTATTGTGAAAATAATCAAATGGGTTATGCAGGAGTATATTACAGTCCTACGGTCTGTATAGGCTCCGATGAGTACAGTGCAGATGGAACAAACACATGAAAAAACTACATATTGGTCCTGTCTTTTCAAGGGCCGTAGTGCAAGAACATCCACAGTACACTATAGACAATTAGAACATATGGTTCATGATGCCCCGTTTCATATTCATCTGCTAATAATCAAGGGCTTCTCGAAGAATTATGCGTGCTTTCTGATTATTGGTCGCTTGCTCTACTGTCAACGATGACAATGCAGCTGCCTGCTATACTCCATAATGTTTTTTTATCTGGCAACAATAGCGACTCACCACATTAGTGTGCAATATTAATTACAATGTCGTCACTTAAGAGGTTTCTTTTTTTCTCCGGTTACACACTTTTCTGGTTCTTAATTACTAACTCGATGTTTTGCAGATTAAAACAAATAAGTCAATTACAGTACTGACTGTCCTTAACCTTGTAAATTAATAATCGCTTCTGTCATTACAAAAAAAGAAGTCGTTAGTCGTCCATTACATACGAATTCCCTCCCCTAACTCAAAGGACAAAATTGAATGAAAAAAATTCAGCCTTATTTAATATATCTGAAAGTGCCTTAAACTACATCTCAAAATAACAAAAGGTATCTTAACCAAAAAATTCAGACCAAAAACACATCGAATTCCACAATAATTTGTTTTTAGGAGTGTCTATACACTTCAGGCGACTGAATTTTTCAAAAATTTCCATCACTTTTTCTACCACTTGGATGATGAAAATCCAATGGTTATCATTACTCACCAACTACTTATTACTTATCACTCTCAATGATTGAACAATAAACCGTTCTAACATACAAAAATTTACAAAACTACATGAAAAACATTAACCCATAAAAGTGTACAAAGTTACATGCAAAAAATTCAAATTATGTAAAATTAAAATAAAACCAACAACAAAATTGCGGTTAAAATACGACTAAAATTATAATTTTTTAGCCGCCTGAAAACTAGCAAATCCCTTGTCTTTTTAGGGGGAAAAAACTCCTTTCCCCTGAACAGTATCTCAGTCAAAAGAAGAGATATCATCGATCGGCTCTTTGATTTCTTGGCACCCTTACACCCAACGACATGGACGTGGCATGATCACCAGGTAGTCAGGCACCAGCGGATGGCCACTGTTGAGGTGACATGTAGCTTAATTAGCTAGATGCAAGTACAACTTTGAGCTGCTTTTTCTCGCAGACAAATTAAAAGGCATAAAAGGATAGCGTATAGTAACAAACTATAGCTTAGCTTTGTACAAATTAAAAGGCATGATGTTGCTCTGAAGATTCGTCAAGACAGCAAGAGGATTCAAACCCCATCGATCGATCAGTGCATGACTTGGACCAAGCTCTCATGCATTTATAAAGCCATAGAAGAATACCCTTTTAATTGCTCCATGGACTCCTTCACACTCATATATATATAGCTAGCTTTGCTCCTTGCAAAGAAAGGCCAATATCTCAAGAGAGCTAGCTAGAGCTCCATTTACAACCATTACAAGATTGCATCAGAGAAGATATCTTCATAGATAATTGTTGGAGCAAGAACACAAGAAAACACGTAGGTTCAATTATAATCGATCGTGGAGATGGTGACCAGCAAGGAGTTTGCAAGGGATCAGGCGGCCATGGATCAGAAGATCAAGAGCGACGTCGGCGAGGTGGTGCTCGCCGGAGACGAGGAAGAAGACGGGGACGTGGTGCTCCCGGGGTTCAGGTTCCACCCGACCGACGAGGAGCTCGTCACGTTCTACCTCCGGCGGAAGGTGGCGAGGAAGTCTCTCAGTATAGAGATCATCAAGGAGATGGACATCTACAAGCACGATCCATGGGATCTCCCCAGTAAGTGCATCCCCAATTAATTTGACAAATAACCTCAAACACAAATCATTTTCAAAATAATTGAGCTAAATTCTGTGTTTGTGTTTGAATGAATGGAATGATTTTGTGCAGATGCGAGCACGGTAGGTGGAGAGAAGGAGTGGTACTTCTTCTGCCTGAGAGGGAGGAAGTACAGGAACAGCATCAGGCCCAACAGGGTGACGGGATCCGGGTTCTGGAAGGCGACGGGGATCGACCGGCCGATCTACTCCGCCGCCGTCAACAGCAACTCCGGCGAGTCGATCGGGCTGAAGAAGTCGCTCGTCTACTACCGCGGCAGCGCCGGCAAGGGCACCAAGACCGACTGGATGATGCACGAGTTCCGCCTCCCGCCGGCGATCGCCGCCGCCGACGCCTCCCCGTGCATGCAAGAAGCTGTAAGCACGCACTCCCATGCTCTCATGCTCGTTCGTTCTCCTTCTCCATCGTCGTCAAGGCCTCGTGTACTCGATCCCATGTACGTAAGAAGTGCATTCGTAATGGGAGAATTACCCAAACTCAGCCTGGAGAGAGATGGAGAATTACCCAGACTCAACCTGGACGAGAGAGATGGGTCAGACTAGAGGGATACGAGCAACCAAACACACCATATCCATATCCGGTTCTCCTCATCTGTGACAGATCACAACTACGTACAATTTGATAGTGTGGAGTACAATATCATCTGCAATACTTTACATCACCAAATCGTCTTAATATTTTTTTTCAAGCTAAGTTCAGCAGTTCTTTCGAGATTACAGGCCTCCTTTTGAACGAAGAAATTTTGCGAAAATTCTACAAAAATTGAACTAATCCATGTGAAAGTCCTACTGAAATTCCCACGTTTTAAAGGAGTACTGGACATCCTCTCACGTTCTGACGTGTTTCTAGTATTCTACCGATTGCCATTTCTAACCGATAAGAGTACAGCCTCCTAATAGCATTGACCTCTAACTTGTGCACTTCTGACTGAAAAAAATGCAGGAGGTCTGGACCATCTGCAGAATCTTCAAGAGAAGCATCACCTACAGGAAGCAGCAGCAGCAGCAGGCCTGGAGGCCGCCGGCGACGGTGACCGTCAAGGCCCCACCGCCGGGGGACTCGAGCTCCAACACCGGCAGCTTCGAGTCGGACGGCGGCGGCGACGAGTTCATGAACTGCGGCCTGACTCCGGCCATCTCCCAGCAGCAGCAGCACGGCGGCCGTCATCAGATGATGAGCACGATGAGCTGCAACGGCGGCTACTTCTTCAACGACGGCATCCATCACAGCCACAGCCACCACAAGCTTCATAGTCAATGGGGCTCCCTACAAATGGCGCCGCCGGAGCCGAAGCCGGAGCCGGAGCAGAAGCCTCTGAGCTCGCCGGCGATGACGATCGCCTTCCATCAAAACGACCATGGCTTCCCCGCCGCCGCCGCGGATTTCTACAAGGATGGGTACTTGGAAGAGATTGCGAGGATGATGGAGGTGGCTGATCCAAGTCCAACAGGATTCTATGACTGTAGATATTGATCAGTAGGAACAGGGTTTCAGAATAGATGCTAGATATGCAGAATTCGCCGACAAGAACAGTGCCCCCTTTGTGTGAGAGGCTGACATGTAGGGCCCATGCTGCAGAGGCTGCTATCACTATTAGTCTTGTACTTTTGTTTTCTGATCTAATATATACACTCCAGATGGGATGTGAACTGTCATACAAGATACCTGATTGTTACTTGTGTACTTGTGTCTGTGATGAACTGCTGGCTATATGCATACTACACCTGTTTCAAAATATAAGTGATATTGGCTATACAATTCATAGATAATATCTCTTAGATTTTGAGATGGAGGTAATATCTCTTAGTACTTAATGAATCATTTTTTGGGGTGATCATGACGAATGATGTTATTGCAACAGCAATGTGCAACTCCCTTTGTAACTTACCCATCTCACTCAGGTGTACATAGGCAACTACTGTCAATGGTTAAATAAAAGTTGGCTAAGGAGAATAGCTGTAACTCTGGTAACATACTCAAGAATCAATTCAAAGGTAATAACATAAGTGCTTTGTCACTGAGATTTGATTAAATTCACACAAGTCATTCAAAGCTGCACACGTATGCGCAGACATAACCATCTGCAACTTGCGTGCGACGTAGACATTTGATCTGGTGTAAAGATTTGTCATCAGTGGACAAAATGTTGTTATAAGTTGTAGAATTGCACATAAACAAATCATGGATCATTTTCAGAATTTCTTGTGCTGACTCCTAATTTGACTCTTCCAGCACCCTAGAGGGGATCAACTGGATTACTATCAAGCTGGTGTCCAGGTGATTCAATTCAATGTATCTGAATCACCTGATGAGTGACAGGGGGTGAAACTGTAAAAAATTCCATAAGAAATCCTTTTCAGGTCACCTCTATGAACAGTTGTGCGAAAAAGATGTGTACAACCATTCTGGATGCTGAATGTGACTTCCCGGAAAATTATATCACCATCTTGAAGCTAAAATGGCACTAAGAGCCATACCACATGAACAGAAAACATCCAGCCATACGAAATATTTATGTGTGATATTTAATGTGTTAGGATAACCATGGAAGCGGACAACCAGAATTTGTGGCTTCTCTGACCAAGGAAACTAGAGTTGTGTTTAGATGTAAAGTTAATAAAATGGTTTGAGCTAGCAGTGATAGACTAGAAACAGTCCAAAACAGAACCAACAGAATTGGTGACACAATGGTAAAAAGACAAATTTGTATTGAGCAAAGGCACCATCGAATATACTCCCTCCGTTTCAAAATGTTTGACACCGTTGATTTTCTAACACATGTTTGACCGTTCGTCTTATTCAAAAAAATTTGTGAAATATGTAAAACTATATGTGTACATGAAAGTATATTTAACAATGAATCAAATGATATGAAAAGAATAAATAATTACTTAAATTTTTTGAATAAGACGAATGGTCAAACACATACTAAAAAATCAACAGTGTCAAACATTTTGAAACGAATGGAGTAGTACACAGCAGGATAAAAAAGTTGTTTGATTCTGTTTGCATCTATTCTGAAGACAAACAGGTATGTGTGTTCATTTATCTATGATGTGCCGCATATGACAAATAATCAGCTGGAATAAAACATGAATATATAACAGGAAATATCAGAAACCACCCCGCAATTTACACTAAAAAGAACCACTGCAAAAGGAGAGAAATATGATTCAGCAGTAGCAGCATAGTTCAGAATGTCACACCTCAGCTATATTTGAAATCAGCAATGCTGATTTTTCTTAAAATACAATTGTCTTAATACAAAGAAATTGACAGAAACATCATTTCTGGGGACTACCTAGTAGGCTAGTACCTGCTGGAGGACAGCAGAGGGAAGCAGGACTGTGCAAAACACACCAATTAGGAAGATGGCAGCGGAAAACCATACCATACCAGAAGCTTAAGTACCTCTTGGTGGATGAATATATCATGTAATAGCAGCGACACATAGGTAGTTAGAAGTAGATGCGGCAGTATCATTTTCCTCTCCTTCCAGCCCAGAAAGCTGAGATGTGTTTCCACTAGAGCATTTTCTGCCAAAATCATCAAATGAGAAAGAAAATCGCACCACACAACCATGTGGATAAAATAGTACGATCACCATGTAATTTAATATAAAACGAAAGGAAATTCGAACCTTTGTGAAAGCAATTTCTCATCAGATAAAGCCTTCTCAAGCCTCTCCTCGAATGGTGTTGCGTGCCAACTCACCTTTTGATCCTAATTATGTAACAAACTATAGATAAGCTATTTTTATATGTACATATGAGAAAGTAAGAGAAGCAGAAGCAGACTTTACTTCTTTGTATTTGTTTGTTGAGTTGGGAATGCCATTTCCATCCCACCATTTAGGAGTGAAAGTATCTGGTTCTGTGTCTCTCCAGTGAGCAGCGACCAATCCAATAATAGGCCTATCTTCTTCTGAACTCTTAGCAGAATGAGATCTGTCACTTGTCAAGGGCTCATCCCTGAACACCTTTGGATTTGGAGGCTTTAACCACTGTGACAAGCTTGGGAATTCAACCTCAGAATCATTTCCTTTGAGCACCTTCTTTCTGCTGGAATGAACTAGCGGCTCACTTTTAAGACATTTCTCCACAGATTCTGTGCTTGAATTCTCTCTTCTCTTATTACAGGATGATACTGAACCCTCAGAACTCTGGAATAGGGAACATTCATTAGATATTGAAAGTTCAACAGAAACCAAACTGTCATTCTTTGCATACTTGAAATCCTCATCTGATATATTGGGCTGACAGGATTCTAGTCTCAATTTTTCACAGCTTCCAGAGGCCTCAACAGAACTCACAGCTTCATATGTATGCTCTGAACAAGTCCTAGTATTGTTCTCATTTCTCAGCTCTTCCTGGTCAGGTGCATGAGTTGTAGCTGGTGTCTGTATCTCAGCAGTCGCTTCTGAAGGAGTTGAAATGGGTAAAGATTTGGATTCAACCAGGTTGATATCATCCCTACATGTGAAAGACGGTGAATCTAAGGCGGTTAACTTGTTCCCACAGTTGATTGCACTGTCATCATTGCCCACAACCTCAACTTCTATGCTCTTGCACACAGCTTCAGAATCATTCTGGTTTGATGCATCGCACTCTTTCCAAGAAGAACTGTCATAGTTAAGCAGAACCATCGAAATATTAAATTAATCTATTCAGTCATTGCAGCAAAAAGGAAGCCACCAGCCTCATCAGAAGTTGGTAACAGGATGAAGGCATTGGCATTAGTAGCGAATAGCACAAGGTTGGCATACCTCATAGCATCAGGTAAAATGGAGCTCTGATGAGACCCTGATGGAGTTTGGCAAGCCTCAGCCTTCAGCCCTTCCATGAATTGTAAGTCATCAGAAATGGCAGGAAGACATGTCAAATGTGTTTGACTTTGGTCAGTATTTTCTGGCCCTTTTATGATTTCATTTGTAGTTTCCACCAATGCATCACGGTGTATGAGCAAACGGACCTGTTGACACCGGTGAAAGTCAGTCTGTCTACCAAAATCAAACCTACTGGAAAAGGAATAACAAATAAAAAAATCGTTATTACACCTCCACTCTGTAATCTGTATTGCCTAATGTACAGCAACAAATTCAAATTCTCATGTAGATAGGTTGGGTATGACCTATGAACAGCATCGTACATTCAAGACCAATGGAACAGGTTGTTATTCCAATTTAGAAACACAACTGGTCGCACAATTCTAACAGATAAACAACAGCCACAAGGGTCAAGGGATATATTAGTTCTTTTTGAGGTTAGAGTAACATGTAAGTATCTACCACCTAGAGAACAATGCTCCTTCATCATTGTTGTTTTATAGAAAAATGACGAATATAATATAGTTAACCGATCAAAAGGTCCTTGGTTGACTACGAATCACAGTGGGGATACTAGTTGTCAGTCATCCAAATTCTGGCTCAAGTGGCATGATACTTGAGTGAGATTTTCAAAAGGGCGAAGAACTAGTCATGATAAATAATGGGAAGAAATTAGCGGTGAATCGGTATGCGGAATCGGAATACCTCGTTCTTGTGCTCCTGATCCACCTTCGTCCTCTCAGTGATCCCGTTCGCTCCCAAGCTCGTACTATGCTCAACCCTCGACCCCTCATCTTCACCCAACAAAAAAAATCCAAACAAACCCAAAAAAAGAAAAAAGATCAGCACGAATAAATGACAAAATCGCTACATCACAATCCAGAAATGATCGCGATAATAAGTTCAAAGAGAGGCGCAAAAAGGGAAAAAAAAACTCTCCAGAAATGTACCTTCTCGCAAGAATACAGCGGAGAGCGCGTTCTTGGACGGCGGCCTCTTCCTCTCCCCGACCTGCCTCACCACGAAACACAACACAAACAATCAACCCAAAATCCGAAATCGAAGCACCCCGCAACACACCCCCCACCAACAGCTTCCCCGCCGCCGCCGCATACCTTGGGAGCGTCCACCGGCGGCGAAACGGAGGGAGACGAAACCAGCTGGTCGCGTTCACGTTCGCGTCGCCCCTCGCCGCTGTACCCGGCCACCCGGAAGCAGCCGAGCAGCCACCCCATCATCCTCCCCCTCCTCCTCACCGCGATGCCGCCGCCGCCGCCGCCCTCCCCCGAGAAGCCGAGCCGTGGGCGCGGGGCGAAGCTTTCATCCGCCTCGAGGAGGAGGAGGAGCAGCAACTGCGCCCCAAGTGGCAGGCAGGAGGAGGAGGCGAAGGTTTAAGCAGGAGGAGGTGGTGGGGATTTGAAATTTAAAATCGAGGCGGAGGAGGCGGCGGCGAGGGAAAAGAAAAACGAGGCCTGCGGAGTTTGCGACGACCGCGTGAGCCTTTTTCAGGGGCTTTTTCTTTAAAATTGGAAATGAATGATTAACACAAGATGGGGTTTATCACTTTATCTCTCTCTTTTTTCTCTCTCTCTCTCTCTCACTGGATGGGAGCGATTTTAGGGGGTAATAAAGTGTTGCTTGTGAAATGGATTATTATGAAATTATGATTGGTGTTAATTTTGCCAATATAGTGGCTCAAATACGATATAGGGGGAAATAATTGGGAATGAACTGTGTGTGGAAGGTTCTAGATGTTCTCAAAAGTATCAGCGCGAGTTGCGAAATCTCAAGATGAAATTTAGTTTGATTGGAATTTTTTTTGTTCTTTTTACTTCTTGTATTGTGTTTTATACTTTTATTGCTCTCTGTATGCTTGCTTGGGTCCCAATCACAGACTAGACTACTCCCTCCATCCAAAAAAAAAAGACAAACCCTGATTTCCGTACCCAACGTTTGACCGTCCGTTTTATTTAAAAAATTATGAAAAAAATTAAAAAGACAAGTCACGCATAAAATATTAATCATGTTTTATCATCTAACAACAATGAAAATACGAATTATAAAAAAATTTCATATAAGACGGACCGTCAAAGTTGAACACGGAAACTCAGGGTTTGACCTTTTTTTTTGGACGGAGGGAGTACACTTTTTCAGGTTTCAGTAGATAAATGCCTTTGTTTGGACTAGTGTCAAACTCTACTAGTACTTCCTTTCAAAAAAAAAAAAAAAACTCTACTAGTACTAGTCTTTTTCCATCTAGGAATATGCAGCAGTTCATTCTAGAATTGCGTTGGAATTGACCTGAAAATTTCGATAAGGGTGCAGGAAAGGTACTACAGTTTAAATTTACCCCAAGATTGGATGATTATCTTTTGCAAATGAAAAAAGTACACCGCAAAACCGGATACAACACATCCCTCAACTTATAAAACCGTACGAACTAAGTCTTTTGACACCGATTTTATCTGGCGGCTGAGTCAGCATAGGACCCACGTTGGTCCCACATGTCAGGATGCCACGTCGGCAAGGCAGCCTCTCCCTTCTTCCTCTCCTTTCCTCCTCCCCCCCCCCCCCCCCCCCTCTCTCTCTCTCTCTCTCCCCCACTCTTCTCTCTGGACTGGGTAGGCCGGCAGACTAGTTTTGCCGGTCACTCCCGACCCTCGCCTCGCCGCCCACTCGCGCCGCAGCCGCAGGCACCCCTCCTCCTCCACAAGTAGCAGATGGCGTCTCGTCCTCCTGCCACCGCGCGCGCGTTCCGAGAGTCCAGGGCGGCGTTCGATCGATTGATTTGATTTGGTCCGGTGAGGCGACGCCATTGTTGCGACCAAGAAACCGTGGACGCGTGGTTGTGGAACGCGGCGTGGCGAGATGTAGGCCGTGGTGGCGGCCACTTCTAGAGCCTGGGTGGCCTCCCCGCGGCGGCGGCATGTCGCCTCGTGTTCTTCTTCCCCGATGACGACGACTCTGTCGTCTCTCAATCGATGCACGGTCGCCGGCGTGCTGCCGCTCGGCATTCGCGGCGGGCGCATGCTGCTCGCGCCCCCACTTCTGTGGAACAGCGGCGCCGCGACGAGGAAGATGGCGGTGGCGACGGCCGCGGCGGCCTCGCCACCGGCGGAAGGTGGCGGGAAGGCGGACGGCAGCGCCGTCGCCGGCGGCGTTTCGCGGACGATGCAGCTCGGAGCCATGATCCTCGTCTGGTACCTCCTCAACATCTATTTCAACATCTTCAACAAGCTGGTCTGCACGGGCATCCCTCCTGAAGCACCGGTGCGCCGCCGCCGCGTCGCCGCACTTCGTGTACATGTCAACCAGCGCGTTCCACGCGACGAAACCCAGAGCAACCTTCCTTTCCGCGACGCGCCGGTGCGCCTCCCGACCCAGCGCAAGGTCTCCAATTTGCGTGCACGCCGAGAACGCGACGGCGGCGGCGGCGACGATGTCGATGCACACGCCACTATCATCCGCCATGGCGAAGAAAAGCACCACAGCCTCGTCAAGAACCCGTGCCTCGCGTGGCTTGTCACCATGGCCGTACAAGAAACGAGCGCCCACGCGGAGGCGAGCTCGCCGTGTGCGAGGTAGAGCTCGACGAGCCCATTGCGGACGGCGGTCGAGGCCGAGCTCGGCCGCGCGTGCCTGCACGGCTGGCACCGTTCTCGCTGCTGCGGCGGCGGCGGCGACGACGGTAGCGGTAATGGATAAGGCGCTCGGTGGCAGGGCGAGGAGCGGCGAGGTCGACGATGGCCGCCGCCCACGGCGAGGTCCCCGTGGAGGCGGTGGTGGCCGACGCATGGAGGAAGCGGAGCGGAGCCTGAGCGGGCAAGAGGTGGTTGGGCTTCTCGTCGGAGGTGTGGGTTCCGAGGATGAGGCGGTGGGAGCGGGTGGAGTCCGGCGACCGGGAGCAAGGCGTAGGCGGCGGAGGGGGGAGCAAGGCGGCGGCGGCGGCCTCCACTCTCCCCCAGCCTCTCCGCTTCGGACTGAGGCCGCCGTGGTCGCCCCGTCCTTGGCGCCGACGAGGAGACCATGAGCACCGCCGCGCCGAGAGTCTCGCGCTCACGCCGCCGCCGTGGAGGAGAAGAGGACGGACGGCGACGGCGACCCTATCCCTGCTCGGAGCCGCCGCCGTCGACATGCGTCGCCGCCGCCGCTCCTCCCTCGTCTGCACGCCGCGCCGCGCCGCTCCTCCCCCGCCCGCGTGCCGCGCTGCTCCTCACCCGCCCGCGCGCCGCGCCGCGCTGCTCCTCCCCCGCTCCGCCCTCGTCGCAGCCGCAGCCGCCGCCGCCGCCGCCTCTTCGCTCGCCGCCACGTCGCCGGCCGCCGGACGTCCTCCTTTCCCACGTCGCTCCGGCGACCTCTTCCCCACCCGCCGGCCGGCTTTGCCACTTACCGCTGGATAGGGATGATGACGTGGAGGAAGGGAGAGGAGGGGAAAGAGGTAAGGATGATGACGTGGCACGCTGACATGTGGGGCCCATGTGGGTCTCACTAAAACTAGGTTTAAAACCTAAGGATCTCGGGTGCACTTTTTCCTTTGCAAATTTCCCTTTTCCTGTACTCCACATGAAATGGCGCTAATGCTTGTGCTAAGCCGGCCCATATACTATCTGCAGTTGGGCCATACTAGCTGTGGAGGGGTTTCCGGCCCATATACTGCCTGCCTAGTACTCTCACAATCACAAAACACAAGAAATTTCATTTGCTCCTCTGGAATCTCAAATGCCAAAGGTTCAAAGGTATAGTTCGTGCCTCTGAAGTCTGAACCCTCCATCATCTAGAATGTGAGGCGAAGGTTCAAATTCAGTCTTCAGATATGATTGCTTGTTTCAATTACTAGCTAGCTGCAGCTAATCCTAACTCAATCTAACAGAAATAGATGCACTTGGACTACAATTCCTTTATTACCATCATCATACACAACAACCAATATTCCCTTCAAGACATACAGATACAGGTGGATGAGCAGCATTCTGATCCTATGATCATTTTAACATATGCTCACAAACAGCTATGGACGTATACTACAATCTGAATATAAATCAACTATGGACAAAAGCTTGTGAAGCAGCGCAAAACGGAGGTAAGGTCGCACCTTTGTTACCTCGGTCACTTTACTATATCTTTGAGGAGCATGTGTGGAATTAGATCTCTGTGGCTTGAGCTGCTCGCGATCCCGCTAGGGCTCGTTACTACGTCTGGTGTGGTTTGATATTCCCAGGTTTCCATCCTAGTTCACGAGCTCTTTCTTCCCACAAAGCAGTCAGTTTCCTTTGTTCAACCAATGCTTCTGATGATTTTTCCCGGGCTTCTTCACATGTATCCATACCTGAACTGCATTTGTCAGCCTCCTTTTGATATTGTGAAGCTAATTTTTTCGCCTCCAGCAATTTTACATCTGCTTGCTGCTGAGCTTGTGTTGCCTCTTCTTCTCTCTGCTTCAGTTCTTCTATGAGTAGCTCCGTGAAACTCTTCTCTGTTTCTTCACCAGACGCACGGCTCTTAACATCCTTGAATTGTTTGGAACAGTCTGCAAATATCAAAAGTAACCACAATCAGTGAAACTGCAGCCTCTAAACAACTGCAAAACATGTCTATAAAAGATAAATTTCAAAAGGTGATTGTCATGTTTATTGCAAGCTTAGATCAAATGAGGTAACAATGTTCATTGTCAAGATAATGATTCAGGGAAGAATTAGAGTTGCTACGATAGAGGCTAAGGTCACTGAAACAATTCTCATGAGGCTGTGTTTGGCACAGCAAGTTCCCATCTCCTCCCCTCGTTTTCCGCGCGCACGCTTTTCAAACTGCTAAACGGTGCGTTTTTTGCAAAAAAAAAGTTTCTATACGAAAGTTGCTTAAAAAATCATATTGACCCATTTTTGAAAAAAAAAGCTAATACTTAATTAATAACGTGCTAATGGACCGCTCCGTTTTCCGTGTGTAGAAGATTGGTTCCTATCTAGCCCAAGCGAACTCAGCCTGTTAAGCCTCCAATTCTTTTTGGACTTTGTTATTTCATACTACTACTAGGTATTATGAATGAGCAGCTAAAGAGTTTCAAACATTTGTTATTTCATCAAGAATACTCACAAAAGTATTAAACCTTTCATTTGTTAGAGGAGAAACCTAAAAGAGCACTACAAAACTATTCTTCCTTGTCATTCATCATAGCCCGAATCGATGTAGGAGAAAAGGTAAACACATCACAAAATATTTCCTTTCGTAAGCAACGGCAGTCCATCTGACGCTTGTAAAAAATCATAACACTACAACAGCAGAAGCAACGAAACAGGTAGGGATTGGCTCACGTTGATCATTAAGTAACAATCTTGTATAACAAACTAACACCCATAGTAACAAAGTAGTATCCTTTTTTAGCATACCCACGAGCTATATGTTCAATTCAATCTTGTCCAGCATCCAACTTTCTTTCCACCACTAAAATCTAATTGAGCTCCTAAGTAACTCCAAAATTATTTTCTCCCTCAGTTTTCAGCAAAATCTTAAAGTTAAGTGGAACAGATTCTGCCAAACAATCACTAATTCAGCCATCACAAGCCCAACACAATTTTTTTTTCAGACAAGGAACGCTAAACTCAACAACATAGAGAAGCTACAGATCTCCGAATCTACACGCTCATATCGTGCTACTTGGTTGCCAACCTATCATCAACTAAACTAAATTCCTTTGCGACATGTCAATAGCAAAATGTAAAGCTACTACAAGAAGCCGCGATGCTAAGCTCTGAATACTAAAGAAAAGAAGGAAAGCACAAAAAAAAAGGAATAGAGATATCGGATCCGAGCAGCGGGCGGGTAATGGCTGGATGAATGAGCTCCCGCATGTCAACAAGATCTGGGAGGAGAGTGAGCACCGACACGGACCTTCGGGGAGCGCGAGCAGCGGGCGGGCGTCGCAGTCGCAGTCGCACGCGGGACACGCCCCCGTGGAGCGGCCGAGCGCCTCGCTGGCGTGCCAGTAGAGCTGCGGGCCGACGATGTAGGCGGCGAGGCCGAGCCCCAGCAGCGCCACCACCGCGGTCACCAGAGCCGGGCTGGGGCCCCACGACGAGGAGGAGGAGGTTGAGCCGCCCGCCATCGCCGACGCCGCGCGCGCGCGCGAGGATGGCTGCTGCTGGTATACAGTTGGGTGTCTCGGCGGAGGGGAGGCGGCGGCGCGGGGAGGTTAAAGGAGTAGGAGTGTGGGGGGAGTGGAGATGGACCGGACGCGGTCGGTGGAGGTGGGATGGGAGTGTGGAAGTGGAGAGTGCAGACGGGCCCGAACACGATATGAGATGGGATGGGATCGTGGGATGGTGGTGGGTTCGGCGGCAGCCGGCCTGGACGAACGCAGTTGTGAGTTGTGTTTGACCAAGTCAGCCAAACAGGTAACAGGGTCCAAGGTTTAAGCAAAAAGCACACCGAATTCCGCGGAAAATGAGTGGTTTTTTATGCTCTCAAGTCTCAATGTCTTGGTTACCCTCAACCTATTCGGGACTATAACATAAGTATAAGTTATGATTTGTTTGCGCAAGGATGGCTAAGAAATTCTTCCTCCGGATTAATAATATTTATCGTTTTGGATAAGAGTACGATCTTAAAAAAAAAAGTAACTTTAACAACTATTTCCTATTATAATATACATAGAAATATCAACAAATATATAGTTTTCTTGAAGTATTTTTTTAGAAATTATTTATAGTCAACTATTTTAAAGTTTGACTTTACCCTTATTCGAAACGGCTGATATTATCAGCTCGGAGGGAGTAGTTGGTCACAAGTGTGACATGTTAGCTCTAAATTCGAGATTGTGATGTATGAGTCCCAAGGGTAAGAAAGTGTGGTATGATACAGTTGTGGTAGCGAAATAAACACATGCCTGAGAAAATGTAGCATGACTAAAATGTGACGTAGTAAAATGAAGCAATCAACCAGACACCCTCTAATCGTGCACGTGCAATAGACGTATCCGCATAACACATCACACGAGACATAAATCCATTTAAAATTTATTGTGCTTTTTCACAATATAAATCACACATGAAAAGGAAATTTTTATAAAAGAACGATAACAACAAGCAGTCAAAGTGAGATATGTTGTAACTGCAGCTTCATGGTGAGATCATAAGCTCAAAGTGTTGTTGTGACTAGGGGATGCAACTGGTATGGATACTTTTCGTCTGTTTAGACTTTTTTCGATTCAAATTTTTTTATCGGAAACAAAAACGAATATAATAATAACACTATCGGCCGGTCGGAATCAGAAAACACTCTATGTGGGACCAGGACATATATTACTATTATAGAGCTAGTTATATGCCATTCTTATTTAGAAAATATCGTGTAAATATACCATGTGACATGGATTATATATACTGCTATCCAGTTCATCGCTCAATTTTCTACACACCTTTACTATGACAAATTTCATAGACAATTCATTCTTATGTCTATGCTCTTATGCTAACATCGAGGTTTCGCAGTCTCGACGAAATCTGAATGGATTCTGTTAATTTCGAATATTTTGAGGCGGCTCGAAATATGCATCTGATAACAGTTTTATGTGAAAATAGTAGAAATTCGTTCAGAATTAACAAAAAATATGAATGTCTCTATTGGGCTCGAAACTCACTTGCCAATCTCGAAAACCTGGTTAACATGCGTGGAACTTGGGAGTAGATTTTCGACACGCTAAGGCTCTCTTTGGCACAACTCCTAATTCAAGAATTTTTTTAGCTGAGAATTTCTGGCTTCATAAAGCCATGGATATCCACGATTGCGTTGATAATATTTTAGACTAATGTTTCTATTTTAGGTAAAATTTAAAAATTTTAAACTACTATAATTTAGTAACATATAAATTTTAAATCAAACACAAATAAGATATCTATACGCCATAGCTATATGGTGAATGGTCCTAGGCTTCAACGCGGCTTAGGCTGTGTTTGGATCCAAACTTTCAACTTTTTCCATCACATCAACCCGTCATACACATAACTTTTCAGTCACATCGTACTAATTTCAACCAAAACTTATAACTTTGGACACAGCCTTGGACCGTTTCATCGTTGCCAGATCACCACTCGTCGATCTCTATGCAAGTGGACCCCCTATCCTCAAAACACCCGTAAAAAAAAATCCAAAATCAATTGAGGAAAAAGAGGATCGCGCCGGCCGATACCTCCATCGTCTCCAAAAACTCCAAACCCCCGCTTGAAACCCACGACGACGACCACCACCACCACCACGGATCATTCCGCCGCCGCCGTCGCCGCCGCGCGCCTCCCCTCCAGTCAACGCTAGAACCCGCCCTCGACCTGCCATGGACCCATCTCCCGGCCTCCAGCGCCGGCCCGCGGCGGCCGCGGCCGCGGCGGTGAGGGGGGAAGGCGCGGAGCCTCCCCGCGGGCAGCGCGTCCTCCACGGCGACATCGACCCGCCCCCCAGGGCGCGGCCGGCGGTGCAGAAGCTGGCCATCGCCGCCATCGTGGTGCTCGGGTGCCTCCAGTTCCTCCCCGCCACCCACTTCCGCGACCCCGCCGATCCCCAGCGGAACTGGATCCCCTTCGACCGCTCGCGCAAGCCGGTGGTATGGATACGATACGATACGATACGGCCGCTGCTGCGCTTCACCCCCCCCCCCCCTACTGCCTCTCTCACTCTCGCTTCATATAGCTCTACTCTTTTGTCCATTAATTTTTGCCATGTTTGAGCTCCGGGAGTACCATTTCTGGAATGGTGATACACCAGTTACATTATCATGCTCAGGCTGTTACATTTTCACGGTGTAATGGAATATTTTCTTTTAATATGCCTTTTTCCCCCTTATCCTGGAGGTGAAAATTGGGTTTGATATTGAAATGCGAAATGTGTGAACAAGACATTTTTGGTACTTCCTCCGTCCCCCTAATATAAGAGATTTTGGCATTTGCTTGCACTGTTTGACTATTCGTCTTATTAAAAAATTTAGAATTATTATTTATTTTATTTGTGACTTACTTTATTATCCAAAGTACTTTAAGCACAACTTTTTGTTTTTTATATTTACACAAATTTTTTGAATAAGACGAGTGGTCAAACAGTGCAAGCAAAATGTCAAAATCCGTTATATTTGGGGACGGAGGGAGTAGTTGGTGGCAGCGTGACTTAAACTGGGATTGCTGTGTCATGCTAGATATCTCAGGAGACGGTATTGTTTTGGTCAGAGTTAGGGGAAAAGACAAATTTCTTGATGTACTGATGGTTCCTTTTGCAGGATTTGCCCGATGAGGTTGGAAGCGTTAATGTCTTTTCTTGGATAAGCTGTCTGGATCTTCGGACTCTTGCTGTGCTGACAAATTCCACCATATCCAGCTCAAGGTTCTGTTTGATTTCAGCATTTGTAACTAATGCATATTTCAAATAACTATAGTGATAGCAAAAGGATAAACTCTTTTGCTATTGGATATTATTATTCAGTGTTCATTTGCACTGTTAATGATATGGAACTAATGACGAAATCTGTTTTCATTCTCAAGTTTTTGTTTTCTGATGTAATTGTCTTTGTTTAACAGTGATCCCCATAACATATCCTTCAATTTCTTAATACCTGAAAGAGGCACAGATAAATCGCCCTACTACAAGCTAAAAGCAGTACTGCCTGATTCGAATGTTACTGTTGCTAGGTGAGGGGGAAAAAAACTAAAACTCTACTTTTATCCTGGGCATTGTTGCACCCTGATTCCTGTTTCGTTACATTACAGTCAAAAGAAAATTGAGGACAAGCTAAACGTTGCCACTCCAGAAGGAAACCTCTTTTGGTCATTCCCCAATGAATTGTCACCCATCATTATTGGAACGACTCAATTCTCGCAAAAGAGATATGTCTATATCTCAGCGGACTCAATTGTAAAGGTACTTACACTTCTCTATATGTGATCATTTACTCAAACCTGTCATTGAGTTCTCTGAAAAAATTAATAATTGAAGTATTGAACCTGTATAAACTATCATGCGAGCATTAGTGCCAGGGACAGTTCCATGCAATTGCTGATCTAATTGCTTGTTCACCTTTTTCAATCATTTCAACTTGTGATAGTGAACCATAATTCTGATTTTTATGTGGAATACATTGAATACAAATCTACCAAGTTTCTTCAAAGACATCACTTTGCTTGGCTAGCATTATCAGAAGTTTTTTTTATAAAAAAAGTCAAGAGTATGGAACTAAATCTGTGATTCCATGACTGGTGCAACAGTTGCTTCAAATAGTCAATTAGGAAACAAAACCCTGCATATGTAAGTGAGTAGTAATTGAGTATATTGCCATGGCTGTGTTCTTTGATGAAGGACATAGAAGCTTTTGAGCATTGAAATGTTGTGTATCCAACTCAAACATACAAAAACCATACATATGTTTGGGTTAACTTATGTTAATCGTCAATCTCCTCCCAGGGAAAAATTGAAGATCTTGGTCGCATCGATTTAGGCACTTATGCTATTGCTGCTGTTGAAGATTGTACCAAGCGCATTGGTGACTATGTTAGTATAGATGTTCTGAATGCCGTTCAGAAAACAGCTCCGAAAAATTTGGTGTATACCGAACCTTATGACAAGGATGCATGCTTACTTGATTTTGATGTGCTTGTGGTGGAGCCACGCAAACTACGGAAGGACCTTATTGATTCTATCATGGTGTGGTTCAGGGCTTTCAGTCTAGCCAATCCAAGGTCAGTGACTCACATTCTGTATTGGGCAACATCCACCATTGCCAGATCACCATGCACTCAAACTCATTCAAATAGCGCACTGTTTGTCTGTGGACTTTCCATTTTTCAGGGATCAAATTAGGTTGGCAATAACATTGGCCTTGTATGACAATTATCTGAAGCTCCCTTCCAATTGGAAGCGCGCAGATGCTAACTCAGACATACTGAACTACAACGGGCCAAAGAATGTTTGCTCTGAAGGTGGACGTCAGCTTCAAGAAGAAGGCAATGGCGATGAGTGGCAACTGTACCTTGATCAGAAATCCCTTGCCGTACTTAGTTAACTGAACAATGGCATTTCATCCAACAACCTGCACGGTTCTCTGTTGCTTGGTTGTTGGGAGCTGACGACCACCGTGAGAAATACGCTTCTTGTTAACCTGTCACTTGCTCGTGAAAGGATTGTGTTTTGATGTTGTACTCAGTAGACTGATTTGTTTCTGCTAAGCTTAAAGAATGTTCGTTTCAGAGGAATATAAACTTCAGTTCAGCCTTGTTTTGCTTCCTCCTTTCTCTTGCATTTGACATATCCTGTACAACACTACAACTTGACTACACAAGTCCATTCGAGTATCCAGCTGCTGACATTCTTGATGGCACTCTTTTGACCTGCGCACAAGGCTGAATCCGAGACTTAGCCGCGCTCAATTGTTCCACTAACATAGAAAAGCTGCTCAAGCTGGCATAATTTAGTTTCTACATTATTGCCATTACATAATTTACAGCTAGATTGCTAGTACTATGGTACATGCTAGTATATCACAGCGTACATCACAGGAAATCCCAGACTGGAATGGTGTACTGGCTTTGATCCGTGGCTTGGTGACCCAGTTGAGGATTGCTGCTAAGAAACTGCAATGACTGGATGTCCGGAGGTGGGGCCTACACGAAAACACGGCATGCGACCTACTATTAATTTTTGTTAAGCAATTTTATATGATCAAAAAACAAAGGTTAATTCCACTACAAGAAAAGTATCAAATGAGATCATGGGACAGAGTGATAACAAAAGGTTGATTTAACTATAACACACCTACATGAAAATCTTCAAGGGAAATATGTGTATACTCAACGAACACTTGTAGTCTTAGCCTAGTAATTGCTAATGGAATCTGTGAAAGTGAAATCCCTTGGGAAGGGAACATGGGTGTAAGTTATAACAATCACCTGGGGGATTTGTGGACCGCTATGAAAGGGTGGTTGCTGTAGATGAGGTTGCTGGAGAGGAGCAGGTGCTGGTTCCTGCAACTGTTTTGGAGTTCAAATTTGCAAGTTATAAGAAGAACAAAATTGACACTTCTCTTCAGCCATTCATCAATGTAGTCAATGCTCCAATTACCTGCCCAAATGGTGATATGCCAGGAAATCCCTGAAGAGAGCTAAGTCCGAATTGCTGTGCAATATACGGTGCCTGTATATGTGAAGCAACAATATTCAGTACATGGGTCATACAGAGTTCAACTACAAACTACAGTTATCACCGTCTGCACTCTGTTCATCAAAACTGGGGTTTAGGACTGGAGAAAGCAGAAAGCAAATATAAATGTTACCTGCATTATATGGCTTGTTGCAAGAAATTGACTGGTTGGAGTTCTCAGATGATTTGGAATGTCATTTGATATTGTAGGAGGATCAACCCTAAGCGGAACTTCAGCCTCCTCAGGCTCCGGTAGACCTACAACATTTTAATAAGATCAATCCTTGATCTATATAAAATCTAGTTCTGAAGAAGCTTGGATGAAGAACAAACCTTGTCTACCCTTTTTCTTCTTATTTGATTGAAGAGGACTTTGCTGCTGCCGACGCGTATCTACATTTTTAATTTTCTTACTACTTACTCTGCGAGTTTCACTGTTGCTGGCTTCATTCGGAAACAAATTTGGCTGTTGAACTTTCAGTATAGTGCTCAATGAAGATTTATCATGTAACTTTGCTTGCAATAGAAGTTCAACTTGCTCTATAAACTGATCACATTGGCTCTCCATGTATGTATAAGCTTCAATATTTTCGGCAGCTTTTGCTGCAATTTTGTAGAACGTTCGATACAACATGCTGTATCGTTTAGACAACAAGAACCTGGGATCTTCATCTACAGCTTCAAAACCATAGTTCTCCCTCGGAGATTCACTCTGAGCATCCTTTCTCCATCTTTTCAAAATGTAGTGTGGTGGAAGTTCTTTAATATTTCTTACCTCAAGAACTTTCAGTACATGGCAACATGGAATACCTGTGAATTCAAATTTCTTACAGCTACAAACAACCATACATTCTGATGAGTCAAATCTAACAAAATGGTCACGGGGCCTGTTTTTGACAGTTACCTCATACTCAGATATTGGTCCAATCTCACCACAGCAATAAGCCATGCAAGTCAAGGTCAGTTCAAATTCCAACCTGAACATCTCAAAAAGTGTAGGAGTATATGCATTAGCAGCTTGCCAAAGCATCCGCAGAGGTGCTACTCTCTGTGCCATTTGAACCCCAAGGTAGTCAGCTTGTTGTTCAGCTAGGCGTTTGTTCTCCAAAAGTTTGTCATAATTGTTAAAGAAGGATGGGAAATCCGTTTCTTTCTTTAGAAGATCTGCCAGTATAGCATCAGTGTTATTATCACTTCGGAGTGCGGCTGCAATATCTGCACAGAATGAATCACGTCCATAAGGTAAAGCCCATCTTTCTCTATCTGCATACAATTTACCTAGCCACTCATTGTCCTTTAGATTGTACTTATCTGAGAGGATTTCCCAGCTTGACAAGAAATCCCCCTCCTCCTCATAGCCATACAACCACATGCTAAAATCGTCTGCAAAAGTTTCCGAGGCTTGGAAGGCATCCCTTAATATCTTAGTGGCATTTTTATATAAATGAATCAGTGAAAAGCGCTGGGTGGTCCTTGGCCAAACAGAAGCAACTGCTTCACTGATTGCTGTAGATTGATCGATCATAACTGTTTTTGGTTGCTTGCCACTCATTGCAGATTTGAAAGTTTCAAACAACCATTTGAAGGATTCAACTGATTCATCATAAACCAATGCTGCACCAAATATGACTGGCTGCTTATGATGGTTAACACCAATAAACAACAATAGAGGCCTACTATGATCACTTGTGCTATATCTTGTGTCAACACACAGTACATCACCAAAGTAGTGGTAATCCAGAATCGACTTAACATCTGCCCAGAATACATTTGTCAACTGGTCATCTTCATCCACTTGGATGGCATAAAAGAAAGAAGGATGTTCACCTTTCTTCCTCTGCAAATATTCATAAATTGCCTGGGTATCACCTAATTGCATATCTTTTGTGTGCCTTGTCCTTACATAATTTTTATAATCATTTGGTATCAAAACAACTCTTGGTGGATCTGGAGGCTGCTGTAACTTTGCTAATAACTTATGTGATCTCAGAACCTGGATGTCCACCAAAGGAGTTTCAAGATCATGATTATGATCAGCCACATACTCAGTCACTACATATTTGCCACTCACAGTGATTTTAATAGTCATGTGTGCCAGACAACCAGTTCTTGTTTCTGGCCGTGGCTTCTTGGGATCAGTACTGACACTTTTAGAGCGGAATCCCTCTTTAGAACAGACATATGCCCGAGATTTTGTAGTATTTGTTGCTGTTTTTTCCAACCATCCTTTTCGGACGCTGAACCCCACAGTTCCAGCATAGGTGACATAGCAGTCATAGGCCTTGTCTTCATTCAGGAAAACCATTCCAACTTTTGGTTCTCCTCCAGGTCCAGCAACTACTTCCATTTCTGGATCTGGTTCTCCTTCAATTATTTCATCTTCTTTACTCTCACCCTGGACCAAAGAAAACAACTGTATGTGTTAAAGCAATGAGGAATCGAATATAAAGAAGTGGTTCATTTGGAATTTTTTTGGGGTTCATTAGGAATTAATAATGTAAAGTTTAAAGTATAAGCCATTGTTCCCTTTTGTTACCCAATCAAAAATAAGACGGAGGACACAAACAATTAGCTTCAATGCAGCATTGCAGAGAAAAAACTTTTCAAATAAACATACATCATTTCACAAGTGGGTCTTACCTTATCTTCTTTTTTGAGATTTTGCTTTTCAAGACGTTTAGAGCGCCTTTCCGAAGGTTGCTGCAGTGGTTGCCAATTCATGAATATAAGAAAATACAACAAGATGGCATAAATGAAATATCTATGTGGAACCAATATAGAATTAATGTATAGTTTGTGCAGCAGATGCCAAGAAGTGTCACAGAATACACAGTTTGTTTTGATATTAACCCCAGAGAAGTGAACAATTACATTGGTATGCAATAAAAGATTTGTGTATTGCTAATAATTCCTAGTTCAGTAACAAACACAAACTGTGCAAACTACAAATGAAGTGATAGTGCATTCTTTCAAAAAAAAAAAGGAAATTTATATGCCAGTTTGCAAGTGAGTATATCAAGTGCAGTGAGTTGTAAACTGAGTTGTGTGACCTCTAACTTCTGAGGTACTAACTGCTAGATACCAGATGTGTACTATTTTGGCTCTTCTCATTGGCTAATTAATCACGTACTAAAATGGAAAAAAAATACAAACAGAGCATCAGCAATATCCATTAGTAACATGGAAGGGAAGTTACCGTCAGTCCTTCGCTTGACAGAAATCTACCTCCATCACCACGTTTTCGTCTTTCAGCCAAAGCTTGATGTGAGGCGATCTGAAAACGACAAGCATATACTTACCAAGTGAAACTAGTTAACCGATGTGCATGTACCAACTACTGTTGGTATATATCCAGACAATTCAACACTTGTAGCACATGCTTATGTGTTGACATTTCTAGCACAAATGTATATATCCTCACATGCTTTTGTTGAAATTTGAAAAACTATCTGAAATCCTTAAATATGATCAACCTTGCATGCATCACGTATGAAAATGTGTGTGCATGACCTAGCGACATAAATATCTTATATTGCCTGGGCACAATGGTCAGCTTCCAATCACTACAAGAAAAATGACAGCATATATTTCTATCCAAAGCTATATATTGTTCCTGATTTCCAGTTGTGGGCTACAGCGCTTTGTCGCTTTCCTATTTGGATCACTATCCAGTTGAGCGACTGCTAATCATTTTGAGACAACATTGAGTTCAAAACTCTTGACATATATATATGCTCATTTGCATAAATAAAGCATAGCTACCTGTGCAGCTTCTATTAAGTGTGTGACTAGTACAAAAAAATAACTTCCTTCCCTTTCTATGTTAAAAGACATGACGACCAGTAAAATGTCACGTATCAAGCTTCTTACTTTCCATCTTATCAGTGTTCAGTGGTGCCTACATACATTCAAATCTACCCCCTCAGTAATTTATATTCATCTTTGTCACAGCTAATAACTAACTCCAAATATTTTACCTTGGCAGGCCTTGCCGAAACAGGTCTGCTCTGTCGCTTTGAGAGGTACTTACTAACTATCTTCTTCCTCTCCTCATTAGTGTACTGTGATGCCCTCAAACCGAGTTCCCTCAGCACACGTGCCTGCAGGGCATTGCCCTCGGCATCTGCTTTCCTCGGCCTTCCCCTCCCTCTCTTTTCCTGCACTTCCACTTGTACCTCCTCTTCCATTTCCTCCTCCCCTTCCCCTTTCTGCTCCTCAACATCATCACCATCTTGCGCCACCACCTCGTCCTCCTTTTCGGCCTCCAATTCGACAACAGGCTTCTCATCCTTCTCTGTAACATCCTTTTTAGTCCTACCCCTCTTAGAACCCCTCATCTTGCGCGCCTCTTGCCCGTTATTTGGGACTGCTGTCCCGACACCCTTCTCCGCAGAGCTCTCCACTTCGATCACCTCTGAGTTATTTTTCACAGGGTTGGGATTCCTCTTATTATTGGCGCCCCTCTTCCTCTTGCCTGCAGCACCATCCTGCACCTCCTCCTCTTTCAACTCATCCAAACCATTTGCCTTGTTCCTCCGATTGGCGTAATTTCCTCTGGAGCAGAGGAACCTCTGCATGATCATGACGCCATTACCAACCGATCGGCGATTGGAGCCCGTGCGCGCCTTGAACCCCACCCTCTCGCCGTATCCGTAGTAGAACCCCTTGGCGGCGTGCACGGATTCGAACTCCATCCCCATCACCGGCACCGCCGCGGCCACCTCCCCCTCCCCCTCCCCGCACGGCGCCACCTCCACCTCGTGGTTGTGCTCCACCACCAGCTTCGACACCCTCCACTTCCCCCCGACCGCGTCCTTCTTCACCACCTCCATCATCGCCCTGCACCTCTCCTCCACCCCCACCCCCACCCCCACCCCCGCCGCCGACGAAGGCGCTGCCTCCTCCTCCTCCTCCTCCTCATCAGCATCAGCAGCGTCCCCGCCCTGACGGAGCGAGGGGTCCGCGTCCGCGGCGGCGGAGGCGGCGGCGTGGTCAGCCATGAGCGGGGGGGGCGAGGCGAGGCTAGGGTTGGGGGGGATTTGAAATGGCGCGGGGATTTGGGCGGCAAGCGGGCGGCGCGGGGGGATTATATAGTGATCGGAGATGGGAGGGGAGATCGGGTGTGGGGAGGAGGCGTCTTGCCTTGGCTGCGGCGGCCGGCGAGAGGAGGCGAGAGAGTGTGGGGGGAGCTGGGTGTGGATGCGGGGCGAGAGGGGATCCGAGGGAGACCGAGAGGCATCTACTACTCCGAGATGCGGGTACACGGGCTCTGTGACTGACAGTGGTGGCCCACAGGGGGGTATGGCCCGCGTGGCAGTGGGGGTGGACTTGCCGGTGAGTGTGACGTTTTAGATAGGCGGCGGTGGGGCTCGTGGCGGCGACCGGAGGTGGGCGACAGTGTGGTGCCAGTGGGGGCGCGACGCGTGTCCCGAGGCATAGTGGTGTGGGTTTAAAAGGATTAGGATGCCGGATTTGTGCGGGTCCCAAGCGTCAGTGGGTTGGGGCTAGTGATACTGTGGTACAAGTGGACAACTGGATGGCAATTGTCCGATCAAGGTTTATACTCATGCTTATCGGCTAAAATTTGAATTTTTAATCTTAAATTTTGAATTGTTTCAAGGTTTTTTTCATTAATTTTTATTTTTTATCTTTTACTTTTATATCGCTAAGAACACATATATAAAAGTTTTATTCACAAATTATTTTTTTTACAAATATGTTTCGCTTATTCGAAATGATGGCTAGCCTAGCTGGGCTAAATATAATTTCGTTTATTTACCGGATATAATTTCGTTTATTTACAAATATAATTATATCAGGCCTTTAGCTGCCTAGCTGGGCCGTCAGAGAATTTTAACGAGGAAAAGGTCCACTTTGACTCCCTTTAAAATAGGCCGAATCTAATTCGTACCCCTCCACCGAAAATCAGATAAGACAACTTCCCTAACTATTGAAACCAGTGCAATTTGACTCCCTCAGCGGTTTTGAAGAGTGGTTTTGCTGACGTGGCGCTGATGTGACGGTGCTAACCTGGTCTTCATCCCATGTGGCGCCTATGTGGCATTAAAATTAAAAATTATATGAGGGACCCACTTGTCATTAAAATAAAAAAATATTGTGGAGCCCACCTATCATCCTTTCTCTCTCCAACCCTTCTTCCTCCTCCCTCTCTCTCTCCCCCTTGTCTCTCTCTTTTCTTTCCTCTTCCGTGGTGGCGGCGGCAGGCGGCGCTACCCTTGCAGAGACAGCGGGAAATGGCTCCCACTACCGGGGGCGGAGGCGGCTGGGCGTTCGGGGACATCAGTACCGTCCGATTTTCTTGACCCACTGCCATCCCTAGTTGTCGTCGCGTGCTTGACGTGGACGGTGGCGACGGTGGACTTGATGGCGATGGTGGTCGCGGCAGCGGCGGTCGTAGGTGGTGACGATGAGGCGTGGCGCGCAGTGATGCTTCCCGTCACTAGCTGTGCACCCTCGATCGGTTAGGGTTTTGTGGGTGGAGTTGGCGGTGGTAGCGAACCTCGTGCCGTGTGCCGCCCCGGCCTCCACCCTCTATTTATGTGGCGCAGGGTGACAAGGCCCACCAGCCATTGGGCTGGGCGCCCCCGATCAGGGCGCAGGTCAAGATCCCCGTTGTGCCGTTGGGCCCAACGGGGAGGGGATCTATCTAACATGAAGTAGCCCGTCCTGAAGGCCTGGGTGAGGTCGGAGGCGGTGGAGACGGTCGCCATGATGACGCCGTAGGCGGCGAGCCCAGTGACCACGCCGCCGTCCTTGAGCCCCACCCACGCGCCGAATGCGAGGACCACCACCTTGCCGAAGGTGGTCGCAATGTTCATGTCGATGACGCCGGTGACGTACGTGTTGCAGAAGGCGAGCACCAGCGCGACGAGGCAGGCGACGGCGACGTGGTGGTACTTTCAGCTCGGTGTAGAGGCGCAGTACAACAATGGTGGACATGACCGACAGGACCACATACCCGGCGACGGCGGCCACGCTGGGCATCCGGTCACGGACGAACACTTGCTTCTGCCGCCGGTCGTCGAAGCTCTCCGCCGAAAAATCGGACGGCACTGACGTCCCCGAACGCCTAGCCGCCTCCGCCCCCGGCAGTGGAAGCCATTTCCCCTCTCTCTGCAAGGGTAGCGCCATCCGCCGCCACCACGGAAGAGGAAAGAAAAGAGCTACAAGGAAGAGAGAGGGAGGAGGAAGAAGGGTTGGAGAGTGAAAGGATGATAGGTGGGCTCCACAATATCTTTTTTTATTTGAATGACAAGTGGGTCCCTCATATATTTTTTAATTTTAATGCCACATAGGCACTACATGGGATGAAGATCAGGTCAGCACCACCACATCAGCACCACATCAGCAAAACCACCCTTCAAAACCATTAAGGGAGTTAAATTGCACTAGTTTCAATAGTTGGGGAGTTGTCTTATCTGGTTTTTCAATTGAGGGTACGAATTAGATACGGCCTATTTTTAAGGAAGTTAAAGTGGACTTTTTCCTTCTAATGAACCGGTGATTAGGCCGGCCGTCTTGGCTGAATCAGCTGGCATCCGTCCATGGCCCATCTGCAAATGGCCCAATACAAGCTAAAATAGAGGGGCCCGCCTACAAATTTAACATATGCCCTCTAAAAAAACAATTTAACATGCGTAATTTCTGCATCTCAATAGACAATTGAACATTTGGGATTTCATTTCTGTTTCATTAGTCTTTCCCTGACCATTCCGTGTAAGCTGCAGTGTCTGAACTCTGAAACACTTCCATAATCTTCCCATCCCAGGCTTGCACAGAAGATTTCAACCGGAAAACACACTGAACTTGCAGTGCTGATCATTCTCCGAAAACGCAGCGGTTCAGTTCAGATGTTACAAAAAAACCCACTTGTTTCCAGTAGGCTTAGCCAAATCATCATGCCGAGGCAATCGAACAGCACTAATCTACTAGAGACGAGACGAAACAAAAAATAAAGCACCAGAATATTTTATCTCAAAAGAGCATTCAACTTGCCATATTGCATATTCGGGTTGCTGTCTGAACCATCCCTGTCATCGTCTGCCGCCCAGCCCGCCCCGTTACATACGTTGTAGAAAAACGAAGGAAAAATTCTGGTAAAATCGACGGAAAACTAACGGAAACATCACCACACTGCATGACCAAGAGGCTTCGTTTGTTTGAAACAAAATCATCAATTTAAATCAGCCTTTCACACAGCAAGTGCATGGCTGATCGCATTCTTTAACCCCTTTTCCCTGCTTCATCCTCACCTTGGTTATCTTGAGAGGCACGAAAGCATCGAAAATACGCAAATATTGTGTACGTACGTCTCGATCAACCAGGATGAAGCTTCCAAGTAATACCTGGCTAACCAGCGCATAAATATGCCGATCTCGCGAGGCCGCTGCATGCAAACCTGCAACACACAAGAACAGGACTGAGTTGCTGATCATGCGCTTCTCCCGTCTCGTTTTTTTTTTATTGTTTGGTGAGACGAGGGATTAGCGACGGTTTCGATCGTTTTGTTTTGTTTTGTTTTGTTCTACAGTGAGCCAAGTACAGGTCGATCCGTTGGTGTTGGGTTTAGGCCCTGTTTCTTTCAGCTTGGGATTATTATAATCTAGATTATTTGGACTAAACTGAAAGAAACAGACAACTTATTGAAGTAGCTTATTATAATTTGGAGCCCAGCTTATTATAATCTGATAAGCTCATTTAGGTGAGCTTTTTCCAGATTATTGGGTGAAAAATTATCCACCATGCCACCCCACTCTCTCTTTAGACTTGCAAACCCAATAATCTAGGCTCTAATAATCTAGAAAAGAAACAACTAACCGCTTATTCTACTACAGATTATAACAATCTAGTTTATAGTAATCTGACTCAATAATTTAGATTATAATAATCCCAAGCTGAAAGAAACATGGCCTTAATATAATTAAGCGGCTTATTCGTAGCACTTCTGCCGTTAATTTGCTAGTGGTGATATTGCCGCATGCTTCATCAATTTACCAGTGAATCATCAGCTCTGCGCTTTTCAGCTTCTTAGGTCCCGGCCGTTTGAACTAGGGCGGCTGATGGATTATGGCTGAAATTGATTTCGTGATCATTATTTGAGGGAAAAAGTATGAATTACCCCCCTAACTATCGCGGTCGTCCGAAATTCCCCCCTGAACCACAAAACCGGACATTTTTCACCCCCAACTATACAAACCGGACGAATTACCCCCCTCGACCTAAATCCGCGGTGGTTTTGGTCTACGTGGCGTACGCGTGGCAGTCCAGTCAGCATTCTATTTATTAAAAAAATGTGGGACCCACCTGTCATTCTCCTCCCACTCTTCCTCTCTCCTCTCCCTCACTCTTCCTCTCTCTCTTCTCTCACTCTCTGTCTCACTCAACCTCTCTCTCACGCCCACGGCGAGTAGGGCGGAGGGGCGGCGGCAGCGGTGAGCGCGGCGGCGAGTGAGGAAGGGTGGAGGGACGGCGGCGGCGGCGAAGTGAGCGCGGCGGCGGAGGAGGCGAGGCGGCGGCGGCGAGGCGAGCGTGGCGGCGGAGGAGGCGAGGCGGCGGCGAGGCAGGGCGGCGGCGAGTGAGGAAGGGCGGAGGGACGGCGGCGGCGGCGAAGCGAGCGTGGCGGCGGACGAGGCGAGGCGGTGGCAAGGCAGGGCGGCGGTGGCGAGGCGAGCGCGGCGGCGAACGAGGCGAGGTGGCGGCGAGGCAGGGCGGAGGCAGGAGCGACGGCGGCGGCGGAGGAGGCGAGGTGGCGGCGAGGCAGGGCGAAGGGGCATCGGCAGCGAGGCAGGGCGGAAGGGCGGCAGCGGCGGCAAAGCGAGCGCGGCGGCGGAGGTCCACGCCGGCGACGGGATGAGGACGACGACGGATGGGGATGACCAGCTTGCTCATCTAGGCGCCGTGGAACTCCTTGCCGCCGCTCGTCTTCGCGAAGACTCCGGCCTCCCCGTCCTTCTTGACGACGCCGACGACCTCCGCGCCGCCGCTGCTGCTGCCCTGCCTCGCGATCGCCTCGCCGTCGCACTCGCCGCCGCCGCCGCCCCTCCGCTCTGCCTCGCCGCCGCTGCCCCTCCGCCCTGCTCACCGTGCGCGTGAGAGAAGAGAGAGAGAGGAAGAGTAGTGAGAGAGAGAAGAGAGAGAGGGGAAGAGTGGGAGGAGTATGACAGGTTGGTCCCACATTTTTTTAATAAATAGAATGCTGACTGAACTGCCACGTGTGCGCCACGTAGACCAAAACCACCGCGGATTGGATCGAGGGGGGTAATTCGTCCGGTTTGTAAAGTTGGGGGTGAAGAATGTCCGGTTTTATGGTTCAGGGGGTAATTCAGACGACCGCGATAGTTTGGGGGGTAATTTGTACTTTTTCCTTATTTGAGGGCACAAATTAAATGAACAAATTGAATATCAGGAAGTTGAAAATTTTGTTTTAAAACTAACGTTTTATATGAAATGCCAATGAAGAAAGTTCTCGAATAAACCATACCATTTAGCTTTTTAATTAGGAAGTATTCCCGCGATAATAATCCATAATCCACCTACAGTTCCAAACGGGATTAGTGAGTACGATCACAAAATGTACGATGATTTGAACAATAATACCTATGGAGAACTGACTGAACTGTGATGATACATAATTATGCTTGCATTACTGCTACCAATCAGTACTATATCGATAATAGTGGCAGCCCTATAAAAAAAGCTACTTCCCTAATCATAAATAGTTGACGTTTCGAATAAGTTTTGGTCAAATTTCAACCATCATTAACACCTCAAATTCTTGTTTTTTTTAAAAAAGACTACATGTGTAGATTTATTTTCAAAAGCACTATCATAATATTTTAAACCAATTAGATTTTATAAACCATTTCTCAAATAAAACTGATTGTTATTTGATTTGAAAAGCACTACCATAATATCATAAGCTTATTAAATTTTATAAACCATTTCTTATATAAAATTGATTGTTATAGTTTTAAGGGTTTGACCAAATCTCTTATTCTAAAAATCAAATACTTATAATCAGGAGGATACAAATTTCTTGAGATAACGTCGATCAAGAGGGAGAAAGGAGTTATATATGAAGTATAATTCTATAATTCTATAAGTTTCAAAAAAAAATCTATAATTCTATATTTCCAGTGATCGATGTATCTTAACCTTTTTCTGTATACTCGTGTGTTTCAAAGACGTGCATTGATTTCAGGAAGCGTTTCTGTGTTTAGTTTGACAGCGCAAACAAAATCATCCATCCTACAAATCTGAACATTAAGAAGCATTAGAAAGTACGTGAACATACATGAGTACCGAAAGTTGTGTGATGAGAGCATTTGATGTCAACGTATTTTTACCGGGCCAGCCCAAGGAGACCGACCAATTTCATTAAGCTACAAATACATCGATAATAAGATGTCGAAAAACAGGGTCCCAAAAGTACCAACAGCACCTCCCGCAAGTAAGGCCCTATTTAGGTTCTAAACAAAAAAAATTTTCATCATGTCACATCAAATGTTTAGACACATGTACGGAGTATAAAATATAGATAAAAAACTAATTAAACATATTGCATGTAAATTACGAGACAAATCTTTTAAGGCTAATTGAGCCATAATTTAACAATGTGGTACTACAGTAAACATTTGCTAATGACGGATTAATTAGGTTTAATAATTTCGTCTCGCAGTTTTCAGATGGAATCTGTAATTTGTTTTATTATTAGTCTACGTTTAATACTTCAAATGTGTGTCCGTATATCTGATGTGACACGCCGAAAATTTTCATCCGCGAATTAAACAGGTCCTGAGAACTAACAGGAACTGCTCCAAGTCGATATCATTCTTAAGGACTCACATTCTTAAACATTCTAACTTTTTTTTTCTAAATGGTAAGTAACTACTGAATACCAACAATGCGTTATATTTTAGGGTAGTGATAGTAGAAATAAAGTATCACTCTTCCTGTTTTATATTATAAGCAGCTTTGATTTTTAAAGTTAAACTTATATGATTTTGATCAAATTTATAGAGAAAATATAGCAACTCTCTTATAATACGAAGTTAGTTTCATTAAACCTAATATTGAATATATTTTTACATCGTGTTTGTTTTTTGAAAATGTTGGTATGTTTTTATATAAATTTAGTCAAACTTAAAAAATCAACTTAAGAAAAGTTAAAACGATTTACTCCCTCCGTCCCAAAATATAAGCATTTATAGCATACAAGTCAAACATTTTTAACTTTGACCATTAATAGCAAACAAATGAAAAAATCAATAATGCAAAATTAATGTTGCTATATTTATCATTAAACAAACTATCATAATATGCAACTCTTTTTTTATTTAAAACATCTTACTTTAGTAGGTATTATTGGTCAAAATAACATATCGGAGACAGTGTCAGGGTCTAAAAATATCTTTATTTTAGGACGGAGGGAGTAGTTTATTACTCCTACCTATATCTCTCAGGCTGTGATCCAAACTTCAGTCCTTTTACATCACATCAAACTGTCATACATACACAACTTTTCAGTCACATCATCTCTAATTTTAACTAAAATCTAAACTTTACGCTGAACTAAACACAGCCTCAATGTGTAATGTTTAGTTAATTTGAACTAACCAATGTTAAATAAAAAAACAGAGAAAGTACTAAACTAACATAGATGTCAACGTCGAGGCCGACGTGGTCGTGGATACCCGAGCTATAGCTCCCAATCTCCCATGCACCACCCGGCCCACGGGCCAATCCAAAATTTCCACCACGCCGCGTTGGTGCACAACGCGGTAGCCGGTAGGGGGCGCTGCTTCCGCCCCGGTTGAGCGCCACCGAGAGAGAGCCAGGCACACGAAAGTTTCGTCTCCAACACGACAACCCCCACATTTTTCCTCTTCCCTCCACTTCGCCCAATCCCCTCATAAAAGCGTGTGCAGTCCATCCCACTCAGAATCCATCGCCCACCCCGCCATTCGCTGCTGCTGCTGCTGCTGCTACCAACTACTACCACCACACCACCTCCGCTTCGCTTCTTCCCCACCCTCCCAAAACCTCCCCAAAATCCGCGCGCGATGTCACGGAAGCGCGAGCGCCCGCTCGAGGTCGTCGCGCCGCCGGCGACCCCGCTCTCCCCGAGCAAGCGGCTGCGGCGGGCGGGGCTCGTCGTTATGTGGCTGTGAGTTCCCGCTCTCGTCCCTCCCCCCGCTTCTGGTTCCTTCCCCCTCCCCCTTGGAATAGCGACTCACCAGTGCCGGTTGCGTTTGGTTCGCGTGGGATCTGTGCTCTTGCAGGCGCAGGAAGCCGAAGCCGGTCGGCGTGGAGCAGATGGCGGCGCGCCTGATTCGGCAGGTGGGTTGTGGTCTCTGCATTTGGGATCGTCTCCCAATTAGTTTTCTGGGTGATGGTTCATGTTAGTTGATTCAGTTTTTTTTTCTTTGGGGGGTGAAGTTGGTTTTGATTTAATTAATTTCTACTACTTCATTCGTGCAATAGATGCAAGTGCAGATGGTCAAATTGTTTATGCTTCTCATGTTTCTCGTCGCGCGCCTTGGCAACGTGGAGAGGCTGCTTCTCGAGCAACCGTATCTGATCCGAAGGTTGCTTGAGGAGCACTTTGGTATTTTTCAGAGGTTTGCTTCTGTTTACTCGAGTGGAACACATACATTTTTTTTACAAGCATGAAATTCGAGATTCATTGTCGGGTTTAGATGTTACCAGTGAACGCTGCCAGCTCGTTGTCGACAATGCATCGGTAATCATTATGGGGGCGTGACTTGGGGGAAGTGGAGGAGGTTGGATTGGGGGTATAGTATAGGGTCTCAACACGCTCACAATTTCTTCTATTTATTTGAGAACCAAGTTCCTCCTTGGTTGCCATCATTTTATTGGATGTGTGTTGGGGGTAGTAGAGAGAATTTAGGGGTTTTTATTTTTGAATGATCCAAAAAGTGCGTGACACTTTTTTTTTTGGAAAAAAGCTATATGCTTGAATCTGATAGCGGGATGGTCTGTTTAAATTTGGTTGGTTTACCTGCAAATCCTAGAAAAGTACTGGAATAAGTGGAATTCCTCCTCTGTAGAAACCAACTGGAGAAACTTGCTTATTAATTGCATAATTGCAGTAATAACTGTCAGAAATGAAAGGCAAAACATTACAAAGCTCCACTAACTACTTCCCGAGAATTATCTGAAACAGTTCTTGACCATTTTTTTCTTGGCACTTATGATTTTGAACATCATAGTCCTGTTTTAATTTCAGATTACCAGGTTACCTACATACCATCTAGCAAATAAACCAGGATAGAACTTCTGTTTTTCCCCAAGTAACAGAAACACCACCAAAATATGGATAAAGCGTTGTTCTCTTGAAATTCTTTCTTTGTATCTGATCTCAAACTTTGAATGTTACGGATGTGATAGATAAATGCTACCATCATTAATTTGGTCTCTTATTGTTTCTTATCCAAAAGATCTTTGATGGAATCCATACAAGATACGGTTCGCAAGGCTGTCCACTCAGAGGCCAGTATTTTGGACCTTATTCACGTAAAATGTGTGATCTATCTATACATATGCTTTGTCTTAACTCCTTTTGATATGTCATACAACAGATGAAGGAAAGACAGACAACATTACTTTCTGGAGGTGCTTATCAGCATCCAAGGTATCTGCCATTTTTGTATCTTCTCCTAAAATGTTGAAAACTAGATGGGCATTTAAATTCCTCTATTAAGGCACTTTAAAAGTTTCTTGATCCATGTCATGATCCTAAAAACCAAGAAAATGAAGTCGTGTTATGCATTCTAACATTTCTTTGGTGCACAAATGAACCTGAGTGCACTGCAAGTTCTACCTATGAACTGCAAACATGTCCAAAAGGAACATAATAACCAAAAGGAACATAGGAACCAAAACCGTGCGAGGAGCCCTACCAAACTGGCCCTAAAGATACATAGGAAGAATGCTTAAGAATGTGCTCTGTTGTTGCGATGGAGTGAAAGTGTACTATGATATGTATTCCATGTACATGTATTAATCTCTCATTGTATCTCAAATTGTAGACCAAATATATCAGAAGGTTTTCCACAAACTGGAGGGAGCACTAGAATGGTTAAGTTATTTTTTGTTGATGTTGAGAGACCAGAAGACCCACTTTTCACAGGTTCTCCAGTACAATGGCAAAATGGAGCCAACGCTAAAGTTGCAATATTTGAAAATGGGAGTCAAATCACACAGGGTGGTCTTTCTAAACTACAAATCGAGATTTTACCAGTCCATGATGATTTCTTCACTGAGCGAGGACCAGCAAATTTCACCAAAGAGGAATTCAACAAGCAGATATACATGTGCAAAGGGAAAGAGTCAGTATTGAAAACTGTCAATTTAACAAATGGTGAGGCCAATCTTGGTTCCTTCTTCTTTACAGAGAGTTCCCATGGGAAAAGGTTAAGATTGGCAGCAAGAGTAAAATATCAGGATCTTGCAGTCAGGGTTCAGGAAGCAACCAGCTATTCTTTTGTTGTCAAAGACCGTCGTAGTAAATGTGAGTATCCACCTGTTCATTTTAACATCAGAACCCTTTTGACCATACATGATTGGAAACTCCAATACACGATGTATGTTTCTCACAAAATGCAGCATTTTCTATGCCTAATCATCTGAAGAACATGATACTCGCACAAGTGGCTACCAAGATAATATAGACAAAATATTTATAATGAACATATTATATATATTTCATTAGCTATTCTGGTCTCGTACATGCAATGGCACTTTTCTAGTGAAACGAAGTTTGCCACTTGTCTTGCACTTTTAGAAGGGAACACCTCCAGGTCTGAGTTCTGAAATAAACAGTATGCAATCCTAGTCCTTTGACGTCTGTTATACTTTTGTTGATCATTGGGGATTTTCTTATGACTTACAATGTCTTGCGCAATGGAAAAAGGTTCAGATCGCTGTAATTTTGTACAATAGACGGTAAATTAACAGTACGCACAGCAAGTTGTTTCACTTTGCCAGGTACACATGTGGTAAATACCCCTAGAACTAATTGCAAAGATGGACAAACTGAACCAATTGCATACTAGCAACCAGCAATAATTGTGTACATACATCTTGTCTTGACACAGCCAACCTTATTGCCTACTTTCAGTAAATAAAAAGAGCAATTCTCCATCTAAGGAAGAAGGGATTCATTGTTTGAAGAAAATTTCCCTAAAAGGAAAACGTTGCAATGACCTTGCGGGCAAATATATTACTAAGGTGAAGCATTTGATGCGCTGTTACCACAGAGATCCAGCTGGTCTCCAAAAGGTAATTATGCAATTGCTATGATGTTTCTACAGTTACCGTTTCTTCAAATTACCTGCAAAAAGTATATACTATCAGTTTGTCAGGGAACAGTATATTGTTCATATTCCAACTAAAAAAATGCCACAGAAGTGAACTGCGAGATGCTACTTATCAATTTTTGGGAAATGGCTGTAGCTTGCAAAAAGATACCTCCGCCTCCTAGCCTTCAGTAGAAAAGTCCCAAGATATTTTATAACTTAAATTTCATAAATATGAATGTTAGTGCTATAAACAATCGGCCTGTACTTGCTATTCGATATAGCTCCTATGAACCATACTCTACGGAAGTTTCTGTAATTACCTTTTCTCTTTTCTTCTTCTGTTCCTTGTGCAATATTTGTTATTAGTATTAGGTATGCTGCATGTAGTTTAAACAAGATTTAAAACACAAATCATGTGTGGAACACAACTACTTACCTTTCACATGCTGAAGGGTTAAAACGTGGCGGTACTTGCCGCTTGCACTAACGTTAACCCAGACATTCTTGTAGGTGCAGTACACATCAGAATTATTATAATAATCCAATTTATTAAAGATTAAACCAAGTTGATCTATTTTACATTTCATCATTCAGGTATACTAATTGGAATAAAATGTTCAGTGAACATCAGTTTTGTTTATTTACCAAGTTAATTGCTTACTTTACCTTGTAATACCATGTTTGCTCCTGAAAGGAAAATTGCTAGTAATGCTATATATATTCACGTGCTAAGAAACTCACATCTTCTTGCAACCAGCTTACTGGCATGAAGAATGAAGATTGGAATACCATGATTAGTCATGCAACCACGTCTGATCCTGGGGATGAGATCCATTCTTACAGAGTTGAGAAAAATACTATAATCTTCTTCAATGATTTCTTTGCTCTAGTCGGTATGTCGGTTGATGGCTCCTATGCTCCTTACCACGCCAACAATCTTAATCAGCTACAGCAGGTATTTATTGAACACCATTCCGATGCAATTAAAATATTGACATCTGTTTATATTCACAAAAATAGTACTCCCTCCTTCCCAAATTGATCATCATATAACGTAATCCAAAATATCTCAAATTGATCATCATATAACCGCATGGACACAAATTTCATCGGAATACAATTAATGCAGCATGAGAGAATGTGTGCATGCTAGGGTGTAATTGGCATGGTGTTTTAATCGATGCATGCATTATGGGAGAATGTGTGCATGATGTCTTGATTGATGCGATTTAAATTATCTTTGATCTTGGTGCATAAATATATATGATGATCATTTTGGGATGGAGGGAGTACTAGTATGCTGGGCCTACTAACAATTGCAAATATTATCAACTTGTACATCAAGATGTAATGTTGGAACACATGACTAACCTATATGTGGCATTGCTGAACATAAACATGGGAGAGTCATATAGTCAATTTGAAGACCAATGCATAAAACAATTTGGGAACATTATTTATGTTAAATCAGATATTTATTTGTGCTATGGAGTATATCGTTGGCCATAAGTTGATAAACCCACTCAATGATGATTAAAATGTGTTGTTGTCTGTGAGTACTTTTGTAGTGTTCCACCCTACCTATATAAACGTAATTCCAACTTTGAATCCTAGCCATTTATAATATAATGTGATGGAATGACATAATGGAGTATTTTGTTACAGCGTAAAATGAACAAGTGGAAGGAGTCTGCGTATCAGAAATTTGAGGAACTGGAGAAGTTGGGGTGTCTTATTCCTGATCATGTCATGATCAATGGCCAACCTGTTCCCGTGTCTCCAAAAAATGATGCCAGTCATTCCATACAAGCCAACCCAACATGCTTTAATCACCAGATTGCACTTGAAGGTCTTTTATATATTCATTATGATCCATACAAAATCCTAGTCATTTCATTTTACTCAAGATTCAAGTCGTTGCGTAATTAGGTCAGGGACATCGATTTCAACAGCAGAATGGATTTTCAGCAGTACACGTATTTACTCCATACAATGTTGCTGGAACTTCCACACAACTAAAAGAGCCGTTGCAACAGTATCCTTATGAACAAAGTATGCATGAAGGTCAATACTACTCCCTCCGTTTCATATTGTAAGACTTTCTAGCATTGCCCACGTTCATATAGATGTTAATGGATCTAGAGATATATATGTGTCTAGATTCATTAAGATCTATATGAATGTGGACAATGCTAGAAAGTCTTACATTGTGAAACGGATGAAGTATATACCTGCTTAATTTTCACTGAACACCCTCCAAGTTACTATAACTGTTCATAGTTTCAACTTGCTTCAGAATCTGGTCGGGAGGGTCCTTCTATGCAGCATAATGGAACTTCTTACTCTCTGACTGAGGAAAACATCTTGAACGGTCTAGGCTCTGGCTTAGTACAATCAACTATCCTATCTCAAAATACTGCAGTAGTAAGTAAAAACGAAATTGAAATATTAGGACATGATATTTTGTCGTGTCCATCTCTTTCTAAATGAAGATTGAAATTCTTTAGTTGGTAATTTCTCGTTTATGACTTGAAATGTTTCTGTATATAGGTCCCAGGTGCAGATCCACGGCACAGTGGATATGCCAGCACCTCTACAGCTGACGCTGCTGGTACTTCTTGTCCTGTAACAGGTGTGCAGCTACACTGAAACTCTTATAGTTCAACAGTACATTTGCAGTGAACTCGATCAACTCAAACCACTTTTCTACATTATGTATTTGCTGGGTGATGAAATGTTGATGTTGGAATTTCCTCAGATGGAGTTGGTCCATGGGACTATCCGATTTTCAGTGATCTGTATCCAAATGTAGTAAGTACTTTGCGCTGAATAAGTTGAACATGCTATGGGATTTACTTCAAAGCAATGTGCTCAATCTGAAGCAATGTTGTCAGTGGCTTGTTTGGTGTTTTTTCCTTTGTTTGTCATGACATTTGTAGATGTTCCAGGAACCGTCAGGACTAATCTATGGGCATGTGGTGGAGGCAGACCAGGCCTTTCTCCCAGATAGCCACGGTATGTGTACCCACGGAGAACATGGCAGTAGAGTATGAATACTTTCGTAACAGAAGTTTTGGTGCTGTTGAGTTTCTATTTGTATGCTTCTTTTAAACTGCTTTGACATGTTATTTTCAACTAAATATAGTTCCAATTTCCTAAAGTGTGCAAAATAATGTCTTATATTCATAATAAATTGGGTGAACTCAATATGTTATTAACAATAACAGAATTGCTTCGCCCCCTTTTGATACCAGCAACCTGAAACAGTATATTATTCGTTACGAGAAACTGCTAGAACAGGTTATACATCTAGATCTAGGACTGGGAGGGAACTATTACTCCAGTTCATGGCACTCTGAATTTGACACGCTCTTTTCAGCAATACTACGAGCATCTGCTTTAGCTTTCCTCAAAATGAATAGAAGTTGAATTGTGCGATTACCAAATTGCTGATGTACTTACTGGCTACTTAAGAATTTTTTGACACAATACTAGCCACTTAAGATTAGGATTGAATTTAATATCAACCTTTCGTTTCGTGCCATGACAGTGTGTTTCTCATTTCAGAACTGGCAAATGCCGACAACCAATTTACTGGAGGTAATGATGATAGTGCTCCATTTGACTGAAATCACCGCAACAAGTTATTGTCTACTCTCAACCATACTAAAGTGTTCAGTACTTCCAGTGTGATTATAAGTGTGTAGTAGTTCGTAAATATAGTAGGGACATATTATGTCAGCTATTCTTTAATTTGTTCCGCTCACGTTAAATTTGCTGCCTGCACATTTGGCATAGTTTGTTTGTACTACTGAATACTGAGATCAAATATTGATATTGATGCACTACGCCTAATTCAATTCAATTAATCTAGTTTGTCCCGGTCAGATGAGTTTCTATCTACTTTATGCTGGAGTACATACGATTGAAAATCTCTCTGCAGCTGCAGCGACAACAGCACGAGAATTGCACGAAGGAATTGTTCTCAAGAATCTTAAGATGGTAAATACACACAAGAGAGAGGTACGGTATACAAGACTTAGTTTTTCTTAAGTACAACAGATCTTCCATTCCTCCATGATCCTATCAGCTTCTACACCCAAACCACACAAATCACCATGCACGAGCCCTCTTCCTCCACTGCCAAATCAACTGCAAAACAAACAAGAACACATGCCACATTACTCTTCCATTTTCATGAGACAAACAAGGTCACAAGCACATCATCCACCATGTGATGGTGCATGGCCATATCTCACCTCACCTGGGGCTTGAGTAGCCAAGCATCCATGTGGTGATCAGTAGCCGATGTCAGCGTCGTCGACGACGAGGTTGCCGGTGATGAGCTCACGGTAGGCGGCGACGGGCCAGATGAACCCCCTCGGGAGGAGCTTGACGGCGAGCTCGACGTCGATGATGATCTCCCTCATGGCCGGCTTCTTCTCGCCGCTGATGGCGATGAGGTAGCTCCTGCCGACCCAGCCGATCCAGCCGGCGATGTAGAGGAAGAGCAAGCCCGGGGTGATGAACTCGCCCCAGTGCCGCTGGTCGCCGCTGACGATGAGGTGCGGGAGGCCGTCGGCGCCGCAGAGCAGGCCGAACTTGCCGTAGTTCTCGAAGCGGCGCTTCGTCTTCTCGATGGTGGCGTTGATGGCGAGCGCCGGCGCGGAGTCCGGCGCGTACTTCTTGAGCGACGACTGGAGCTTCTTGATGGACTGCTTCTCCCGCTTCGCGAACGCCTTGGACTCCTTGCACGGCGTCAGCCCGGCGATGTCGGCGGCGGCGGGGGGCGGCGACGTCGCCGCCGAGGAGAGCAGCACCGAGGACAGCGCCAGCGCCGCGGAGAACGTCTTGGCCGACGCCGCCAGCGACTGCGCCATCTCGCCGGCGCCGCCGTTGTTGCCCGACGCGGAGCACGACACGGAGAACCGCGCGGCCGGGGACGACGGCGCGCGCGCCAGGCGCGGCTTGGCGGCGAAGGCGGTGGATGCGGCGGCGAGGGCGGCCATTGCTGCTGCTGCTGCTATCGGCGAGAGAGAGTATTTGCGATCGGAGTGGGTTTGCGGGTTTGTATCGTGTGGGGGGCGCGGCCGTGTGGAGATGCAGATTTTGTGGGGGCTCGGTGCTTTCGGCCTTGTGGCTGCCGCGGTTTGAAGATGATTTTGTTTGGCTCCGGCTGTGTGCCTGTGTGTGCTCGCCATATGCACGTCGTGCCTGCCAGAGTCTCGATTAGGATTTTGTTCACGGGGGTTCCCATTTCAACGAGGGGAAATAAATGGTTCTGGAGATGTCCATTTCTACTAGAGTTACTTCCTCCGATCATAATATCTGGCGTTCATGATAGCATTTGATTATACTTATTTAAATACTAACCGCTCCTTTATTATAAGGTGCCAAGTGATCAGTAGTGCTAGTTATCTCAATTAGGATTCTTTATTTCCCGGAAAAAAAAGGATTCTTTATTAAGCTGAACAAACATCGAACAATTAGGGCCTGTTTAGTTCCCCAAAATTTTTTCCCAAAAACATCACATCGAATCTTTGGACATATGCATGAAGCATTAAATATAGATAAAAAGAAAAACTAATTGCACAGTTATGGGGGAAATCGCGAGACGAATCTTTTAAGCCTAATTAGTCCGTGATTAGCCATAATGCTACAGTAACCCACATGTGCTAATGACGGCTTAATTAGTATCAAAAGATTCGTCTCGCGGTTTCCAGGCGAGTTCTAAAATTAGTTTTTTCATTCGTGTCCGAAAACCCCTTCCAACATCTGGTCAAACGTCCGATATGACACCCAAAAATTTCCTTTTCCCCAACTAAACACACCCTTAATCCACTATTTCACACAGTAGCGTAGTACCACACCCGTTCTGCGCCTGCACGCTACGCGAAACCTGAAGCCCCCGCGCGCATACCAGCTGGGTCGTGTTATTCGATCTCACAAACACAAGAACTCAAGAAGTACCAATAACATTTCATCCATGGACTGTACGGTTCGCAAGGCTGTCTCGCGAGGTTTCGCTCTAGCAGCAGAGCCGAGCTGCCGATGGGTGGGTGGCATCTGAAATCGATGCACTTCAGTGGCTTCAACCGAGCGCTATCTGTGGATCTCTCAGCTGGAGTAATACTGGAGCCCATGGACACTTGTGCCCGCTCCGCGTATTTCCTGATGCCACCCATTTCTACCCGGGCACACTAGCTACTGGAAAATTTAACCGCCGTGAGGCGAAACCAGATGGCCAATATACCAGAGGAAGTGGCGATGTGTGAGAAGAAAAGAAGACTCGCCATATATATGCAAAATCTCGTTTAGGATTTGTTTACTGTGTTCTCATTCCAACAAGGGAAAGAGAATAGATAAAGCTCTAGTTATATGGTTGTTGCCAAAAGATATTTCGATCATTATTTTAATGCCAGCCTCTTTCGAAGAAGAGATAAAGCTTTACAAAAGACGGTTCAACACTTGTCCACTGTGCAAGATAAATCTGAACAAATTTTAGTTGAATTCAAACATTTAGAAAACTCAAAATTTGCTCGAAATTGCAAAAACAGAAATTGCCAAAAAAAATTAAAAACTAAACAGATTTTGCTAAACTTAAACAACCATTTGCAATTTTTTTTGATTTGTATAATTGGTGACAAGTTTTGAATTTTGTAAAGTATGTTTAAATTCAACAAATATTTGTTTCCATTAGAGTCTTGCACATGGTCGCCCAAGGGTAAAATTATCCTTTGCAAAATTTCCAAGATATATTAAAATAGTGGTTGGAATGTCTTTTGCCAAACAACTATTCAACTCCTTTAAAAAAGAGTAACGATGGTGTCAGCAAATATGCCACCCCATCTATTCCAATGTAGATTTGGTGCTACCCCTTAAACTTCTTGATATTAAAAATAACTAAATATAAATGGATGATCACAAATAATAATATTACATCGAGGTGAATTTCTATGACAAAAAGATAGGTAACACATTAATGTATTTTCTCTTATCCGTATCCAAGCACGTCATTCAACTAGTAAAACTAGAACATCAGCAAATTTTACCTTTCTCTTTCTTAGTAACATGTTAACTTAGAATTCAACTGCCCTGGGGATGTTCCCTCGTGAAAAACTCTAAAGAAAACAATAGAGTATAGTGGCATCTATTAGTTCATCAAAAATCAAGTTTAGATTTGATCTATACATTGGAAACAAAATAAGACAAATTCGAGTGTGAATGGTATGTTACTATATATTCATACGCTGAATTTTTTTTATCTCAATGTGTGAGAAGTTGAGTTTGGACAAAACTCAGAATTTTTGTACAAACTATCAAGTAACATGTAGCCGACACATTTCATCCATGAACCACACAGCATGTACTGCTCGTCCACGCAACTCGCCCGTCTCGGTTTTGCTGTATAGCAGCGCCGCAACACAGCTGCTGATGGATGGACGAGCTCCGAAACCAACGAGTTCTCTCTATGTCGTTAGCCGAGCACTTCCGTCGGTTCTCATCTCCACTTTGGTGCTTCAGCCAATGGACGTAAGCGTATGGAAAACGGCCGCCGTACGCTCCTCGTGCTTCCGGATGCCACCCATTTCTACCCCGTATGGTACGCTCGCACTGCCATACACGCGCATACTTCTACTAATGGTTTGACACTTGAGCTAATTACAACTGCCGCGAGGCAAAACCGGATGGTCAATATATTTGAGGATGTGGCCGTGTGTGGGAAATAAAAGAATGCGCTCAATTTTATTTCTTTTGCAAGACAGACAGTTAGTTATTGCTGTATACTTGTATGTGCTGGGTAATATATCAAACCGGACGAATTAACGAATGGATCCTCTCATCCTCCTCAAAATTAAAAGAAAACATTTTTTTTAGGGGGGGGGGGGTGGGGGATCATGTGTAGGAGATGAAGTAAAAGGCTCGCAAAAAAAAGTAAAATCTGGGTTGTTGATACGAAAACTAAAATTTGGATTTATGTTAGCATGGCCACGAATCCATGATCTCATGTGCACTATGTAGTATCGACTCTTTTTTAGAAACATGTTACAAAAGCAAACACTCAAAACGCGCACACACTTATCCATAAGAACGCACACATGTCCACCCTATGCCTATGAACATTTTTAGAAGATTAGGCTAGCATATCTTGAGGTTGATGAAGTCACCACGAGCACCTCATTGTCGAGAGGTACGTCGCTTACCACTGAAAAATTAATTAACCATAAATACGAGCACCAGTCTTAAGTATAAGACTTGAACCACTAGTCAAGCCCGTAGCTATTTTGCTACTAGCACTCCCAATAATCTAGCCACTCTAAGGTCTATAAGATCAAGTTAGCTCGTAGACACCGGCGAATGTACACCCTTCACCACCCAGTTCCATACGCCACCCATTTCTAAACCGCGTGAACATGTAGTTTTGTGATTTTGGCCCATCGAGAAAAGATCAGTTCTCTAGTAGTGCATGCTTGCTCGCTTGATGCTCGCGCACGTTCCTGTGCGCAATAAGCTAGTGCTAATCTTAACCCCGCAGAGAGGCCAAGGTGGAGGTGGATGGTCAACATATATATCCTTCGGAGGAAGCGACAATCTTTTTGGGTGGAAAAACTAATGCCTCCTAACATTATATTACGGAGAAACTCAGTTACTATGCACTTATGCTGGGCAATCAATGAATGAGAGGGTAGTTATTAGTTACCAGTTCAAGGGTGGATCTTATTGAAACCTTAATTGGCAGTTCTCCTGTTCGGTTTAGTTAAAAAAAAAAAGATGAACATATAGGACAAAGGGAAAGGCTAGCTAGCCAGAATGTAAAATTTTGATTTATCTTTTTAATTTGTTAGGAAAATTGAATCTGGAACTTTGCATGACAGTGAACAAGATTGTAGTACAACAGTCTTGCAGCATTGCACCACTCCACTGCTACTACAATATTCACCACAGCTAATTTACAACATTCAGTTGCTGGCAGTGGAAAGAACCCCAATCGCAGCTAATAATTTACAACATTTGAATACTTTCACTCCAAAAAAGTATCTCGTCCATCACTTGTCGCTACATTCTCGATCCAACCGACCAATTGATCAGCGCTAACGGCAGGCGGTTGATGAGAATGCTCTTGTGTAGGCAGTTCGAGTTCAACCCGGGAATAAGCCTTATTAGTTAGCATGCTTCCCAATACCGCTCATTCCAATCGGTTTTCATCATATCGTCGTCGTGCACCGGCCAGCCAAGAGATACACAGAAGCAATAAAATATAATGTGGAGATGTGGAACGGTGGGTGATGGCGGCAGGGTGTACAGTACAAGATATACACACAGGGGTTGGGTTGGTGCCTGCATATATATGTGTGGCGAATCATCAATAATGGAGAGAGATGTGCATTTACATGCATGGTAAACATCGATCAACACACGTGCCAGAAACTTCACATGGAAATTAATTGGCGTCCAGGAACCGATTCAAGGAACATAAATAAGAGATGTGCTGATGGCTAGTTCGTCAGAATATAAAAACTTGTACTGAAATTGAGCATTCGCAGCAGTGTGTATATTTTTCACTAACTGATTCCGAGAAAATTTTATAGTATTTGAGAAAATACCTCGAGGTATCTAAATTTTTACACTATCTCTTAGTACCTTTATTATGGATGGTAAAATTATCCGTCTGTTCCTACTCTTAGATAACAAACAGTCTCATCGTTTCAGTATCAGCTTGTAGTACAAGACATATAGTTGAGTTAATTATTTGAGCTTTCAGTTTAACCAGATATATAATAAGAGGCCAACATTTAGCACTTATACTGAATTTAGTTGAGAGACTAAGCTTGAATTAAGCAAGTCGATTCTTCATTCTCTTCATAGACGATTCTGCATTCACCTCATAGACTAAGCACTGGTGCTCCGTGTGCCGATCACGAGATCGAGACGACATGGAACTAAACTAAACACAATTCCATTCTTCCATTTCCATGGGAAGTCATAAAAATCGTGGCCATTCTACTTCGATAGCATTCGCCGCAGCATTTCGAGGAAGTGATGTACAGTATATTGCTGCCACCTTCATGGAATCCTTCCCG